TTGAAATAACAAAGTTGTCGATACTAATTTATAGAACCGGAAACACTGCATTGCTGATTTTTTTAATGAAGAGAGCGTATTCTGAAATAAAAGCATATTTTCATGGATTTCTCCCGAATGATTCTTGCTATAGAGATAGTGTAAGCTCGTCCGTGACATACCCTGTATAAATCTGGCAACTCATTGATTCAAAGATATATTATATATTATAAATTCAGGTTTGAGTTCAGTTTTGTTTAATTCAGTTAGTCTTAGTAATATAGTTATAGTATATAGATCTGATAACTAATAATTATTTCTTGTTGGTTTTAATCTAAGTTATTCAGGAAATAATCTAGCCGTATACTCCTCGACCTATAAATGTAAATGGACTAAATCCATAGGTCTAGGGATATAATATATAGTCCTTTGTTCGACATTTTTGGAGGTTAACGAATAGATCGCCTTCCCCTTTGTTTATGGTTGAAGCTGGTTTCGTGCCTTCTTGAGTGAAAGCAATCTAACGAAATTTCTCAAATTCTGTAGGTCCATGACATCTACTTGAAATCAAGAAATGAAAACGATAAAATGAATGATGTTGGCTAGTTCTGTGTATATTTTAGTATATCGAACAATCACTATGGAAATTCTAAAGGAGTCGGCACTGGATGATGGTCATGGGATTGGTCCCGCGCTTACCGTTAAAAACAAATAAATCGTTTTGCGCTGTTACTTTGCCAAATGATCATTGATTTATGAATGAATGTTTAATTCATGAATGATCAAATGAGGGTCAACAACGGAAGAAAGCTGTATCAGTGGTTATTTAGCGTTTTGTTCTATTCTTTTTCGTCTAAAGTAAGATTCCGTTTCAATATTTTCTAAAACCTGACCTACCATGACTCAAAATAGAAGTTTGCATAGTAATTTTTCAAGTTTAAATCCGTTTAAATTTGGTCATTTTTCATAATTTTCTTCAGCCAACCATAAGAACATTTTTTGTTTTTTCTTCCTATATACATTGAGAAACTGTTTCCGTTCAGCTAGAGGTTGAAAACCAAGAAGTACCTGAACATACCACACAGAAAAATATATTATATATATAAGATACCTACTCTACTGTTGAATGTGGAAGACAAAAATGTATCTTTGCAAGCCTCTATTTTGAGTCAGGTTAAGTCAGGCTGAACTGGGTTGAACAAAGAACAAATAAATTGTTTTGCGCTGTTACTTTGCCAAATGATCATTGATTTATGAATGAATGTTTAATTCATGAATGATCAATGAGGGTCAACAACGGAAGAAAGTTGTATCAGTGGTTATTTAGCGTTTTGTTCTATTCTTTTTCGTTTAAAGTAGGATGCCGTTTCAATATTTTCTAAAACCTGACCTAACCTGACTCGAAATAGAAGTTTGCATAGTCATTTGTCAACTTCAAATCCATTGGAATCTAGTCATTTCTCATCATATTCTTCAGCAGACCAATAGGAAATTTTCTGTTCAGCTAAAGGGTGAAAACCAAGAAGTATCTGAACTTACCACACAGAAAAATATATTATAAGTAAATCTCGAGGAATTAACAATAAAATCGTGATGGTGTGAAGCATTGTCGACCGAATTTCGCAACATCCTCTGAATATATTCAGAAGAAATTAGATTTAAAAAAATATGACATGACAAACTTTTGATAGGGGTCGTCCTAATCGCGGCAATCAACTTCCGCAATTTGTTTTTTTTCTCGTTGAAAAAATAAACGCTTTATCTACGTAGCAAACCCCATATTATGTTTATAACAAAATCTAACATAATTAATTTACAAATTATTTTTGTAGTCTTCAAAAAAAAACAACAAAAATATTCAAACAATATATTAATAAATCACCAATACTAACTTGGATTATAATGATATAATGATAACTAGCAGGTAGGTCCTTATATTTTGATTGGATATATCAATTATGTTCATCTCATTTGTCTAATAAATGAGAAGTAGATTTATCATCATCATGCAATAATGCAAATTCTCATCAGATACCTAATCAATTTTTCTATCAGCTAGGAGAATACAGTTTTTTCAGTTAGATAATTCAGATATCATGCACAACTGACATTCTCAGTTTTTCCCATAATTATAAAAAGTATTTCAAAAAGAAGAATTTCAAACATTTTCCATCTTGGAATTTGTTTCAAAGCTATGTCATGATTATTGCCCTTTTTTATGGATATATTACGACAAAATGACATCGAGATAGTTTGGCTCATGTATACATACTTTCTGTGAGAAAAAGGAATACTTGCATCAGTCATCAATCCGAAATTTCAAAAATCGATTAATGAGAAATATTTAGAATGTGAAAAACACTTGTACCGCGTGTAAGAAAGGACGCCGGCTGTATCTCGAAAACTATTTGCCGCACTGGTTTCGGAAAAAAATATTTATGATAAAAGTGGCCAAGAAAAATCCGGAAAAATCTCTGGAAATTATTTTCAAGTTTCCAGGACAGCCGCTAGAGGGCATAATTGCATTGGCCAACTCAAAAAACGGGTTTTTATGAAAATTTTATATATCAAGACATATCAGAAACACTTTTTCCATGTTCTCGAGTAGATTTCCAATCATTTCGATAAAAAAAAATTGCGCTAGATCTTTGAATAAAAGAGGGAGGGAAGGATGAATAGTACTCTGGAAGAACTCTTATTACTACAGTTTGGTGTCGATCTTGGTCTCATTATGAAGGGTTTCTTCAGATCTTCCCGATGAATCACGAATCAAATCGATTTGAATCCCGTGGTGTCCGCTAGATGGCATCGTTTGAAAAATCAGCCGATTTGCCATTTTGTTTCGAGAATTTCAAATGGAACCATATATTTTTCCTGTTATGATATATGGAAGTGAAGTGAACGAGAAGAAAAATGGTGAAAACCGCGAGTTGGTCCCTCTTGAAGAACCGGAGAAATACTCGGAATAATATTAAAATTTAAACTGTTAGCATGTCAAATGCCTCCTCATTCGTTATCGGTATTTTGACAAATAAGCAATCCACAGTGAAAACTTTCAATGTAACTTCAATTATATTTTGACGTTTCTTTCATTCGAAGTCAACTTGCCTTTTCTCATTCCTGAGCCTATATATTCAATACTTACATTTCAATTAGCTATGTCATTACTAAGAGTCTCCTTCACGATTGTGAGATATAACAGCAGTTTGTGAAACCAAAATAAATGAATTATTGAAATCGTAATTTCATACATACAGGATATTTCTGATGACGATTATTGAAGTTAGATTCCTGTGGTGAATATTTTCAATATATTACTACTTCCATATTAAAGTAGAATGAATATATGGTTCCATTTGAAATTTTCGAAAAAAAATGGAAAATTGTCTGATTTTTCAAACGATGCCATCTAGCGGCCACCACAGGATTTAAATCGACTTGATTCGTGATTCATCTGGAAGAACCAAAAAAACCCTTCATAATGAGACCAAGATCGTTGAATTCCGTTACACCAAACTGTAGTAATGGGAGTTTTTTCAAAGTACTATTCATCCTTCCCTCTTTCATTTAAAGAGCTAGCACAATTTTTTTTATCGAAATGATTGGAAATCAACTCGAGATTATGAGAAAAGTGTTTTTGATATGTCTTGATATATAAAATTTTCATAAAATCCCGTTTATCAAACTGGCCAATGCAATTACGCCCTCTAAGGGCTGTCCTGGAAATTTGAAAATAATTTCCAGAGATTTCTCTTGGCCACTTTTATCATTCATATTTTTTTTTCGAAACTTGTGCGGCAAATAGTTTCCGAGATACAACCGGTACATCTCTGCAAGAACAATTATTTGGTTTTTTCTCAGGACCAATATTCTAATCCAATAATAGCCTTTTCGCATGAGTAACACAGTGTATTCATTATTCTCGCCGAAAGAATTATTTAATTTATAGAATGAATTATGAGAGAAATCACGTACAGGGTGATTCAAACTAGTACTCAGACTTAGTTTCCTGAACATCGTGACATTTTCAATTCAAACCTGCAATGAAACCCAGAAATTTCTTTGGATGTGTCTTTTTCAATTTTTGGAATGATGTAGTTCATATGAGTTTATAATATATTTTCATTTCGTCAACCCTCGAAAATGAACAGTTATTTTGATAGAGAGGTTAAATCCACGTTCTGATCAAATAGATTGTTTATTTATGAGAACATTATCAATATTTCGATATATTTTGATTCACCTGATTCTCTATAAAAATATATTCCGAATAAAAAAATATATTGAGTCGGAATTATTACCAACAAACCCTATTTTCAAAAACGAAAAAATCCGCCTGTCAGAAGTGATAGCAAATGAACACGCGAAATTATTTTTAAAACATTCGGTAGATTTTGCTAATTTTTTTTTATATTAAGTACTCCATGTTGGTTCTGGACAGAAAATAATAGGGTGAAAATCTTGAAAATTTTACGGTTTTTCTGCTAGAGGAGGTTAAATTCTCATATCGAACAAATTACCTGATTTTTGAACAATATTTTATTTCTATTCCTGAAAATACATCGAATTTTGTTAAAAATGCACACCTCATTTGATGGGGACAATACTGCAAGAGGCGTTTTCTATAATTCTAAGTGATGAAACATTTCCTTTTACTTTCGACAGTTAGGAGGAATTTGTTTTTTCAATTTTCAAAATATCGGTTGGGGTAAAAATTCTCTCTAAATATATTTTTTATTATTATTCATTTTCTCGGAAATAAATAGTCTATTCAATCAAAATGTGAATTCACCCCCTAGCAAACAAACTGCTCATTTTTGGGGGTTGATGCAATACAACTATTTAGAATCACATAAACTACATCATACCAAAAATTGAGCAAAATCCAGTGAAGCCCAATTAATCTGAGAAATTTGCGAGTTCATTTCGCTGCAGATGAAATCGTCAAAAATAAATACAAGTTAATTTTGCGTCTACCCTGTAACTTGCCCGAAACAGCACTTAACTGATCCGTCCAACAGGTTCCCTCCCAATGGGCCAACCCAAAATGCCTGCTATCTACATATCCAAGTACAACAGATTCGTCGACACCATATTAGGACGCATCAACGTCATTTTGGGCAAATCGTACGATCCTGTTCGAGTCAAACTCCAGACAGACGAGAAGAATAAGAGCAAGAACAAAAAGGGCAACAAGAAGACCAAAGGCAAAGGAAAGAAGAAGAACGGCAACAGGAAGCGTCCGCTGAGGAGAACGAGCGAGGTCCGGAACAAAATGGGTGAACTGACGATCGCTAGGTCCGTCAATCAGATCAATGAAAATGATCCCAAACTGCTAGGTAAGTAAAGAATAGAATATTATAGCGTATTCGACTGGATTGCACTGACACTGTGTTGATGCATATTTAGCACTGAACTGACTTCGGACAAAATTAGTTGAATGAATGAAGCTCAACATGGTTTTATCTATAAATGATAATTTCAATAATTTTAAAATTCTCAATACCAATATTTGTAGTATTTCAAAAAACATAGATGAACTGAAAATTAATCTTGAGGAACTCGAAACGTCTTTTGATTGCATAGTCTTGACAGAAACTTGGCACGTGGCGGATACCTCTCCCTTCAATATGACTGATTACGTAAGTCTTTTCAATAATAGCCACTACAATCAAAATGATGGTGTTCTTGTTTATGTAAAAGCAAACTTATACCACTCTCATAATCACATTGAGCTGAATGGAAGTATATTATTAAAAATTAAATTAATTGTAGATAAGCAGACCATTTGCATCTATGCATTCTATAGATCTCCAGCTAGTCGAGTTGATGACTTTCTAGACCAGCTTAATGATATACTCAATGAAGAAAATGATGAATTTCATTACAGTTTTTTTGTAGGTGATATAAATATTGATTTGTCGAAAAAACCTGAAGACTCAAGAACTTATCTCGATATAATGAATGAATATGGGTACCACTCCACCATAAATACTACTACCAGAGCAAGAAATGGATCCGAATCATGTTTAGATCATATATTTATCAAAATGAAACAGCAAAACTACAATAATCTATTGCCAGTCACTATCTCTACTACAATCACAGATCACTACTCAACGTGATTACAAATTATACGGAATAATAAGAAAAATTACGGAAAAAATAATAGTTTTGAGAAATATTTTCAGAGATTAGACAAAACACTACTGCTGGAATTCATTGGCTGCATTAATTGGGACGATGAATTATATCCGATTCAGAATAACGAATCTGCAGCAGAAAAATTCATTAACATCATAAATACATGTATTCGCAAATCAACTAAGTACATCAAAATAAAAAATTGTGAACGCAAGAGAAAAAACTGGATCACAAAGTCATTAATGAAACAAATCAACCAAAAAAAAACAATCGTACTGCTTATGGAAACAAAATCCAAATAATCAAACCATGAAAAATAATTATCTAACAATGAAAAAAGAGACTGAGGTGAAAATAAAAAATGCAAAGGATATGTATTATAAAAAGTTACTGGAAAATGAACAAAACTCAAGGAAAAATCTATGGAATACTATGAACGAAATTTTGAAAATTGGAACAAAAAAGCAAATAAATAATATCAAAAATGAAAAAGGAGAAATCGTCACAGATCAAAGAGATATTGCTAATATGTTCAATAACTTCTTCGCCAATGTTGGAAAAAACTTGGCAAAAAGTATTGAAAAAAATCCCAAATACAAGAGTAAAAAAGAAATACAGGAAAATTCTATTTTTCTAACACCCACGAATAAAAGTGAGGTGAAGAATACAATTGCCACCTTGAAAAATAAAAAATCTCCTGGGCATGATGGCATTTCAGCCGAAACTCTGAAGATTATATCCGAGGTTATAAGTGAACCTTTAACAGACATAATAAATAAATCATTTGAGTCAGGCATATTCCCTTCAATCCTAAAAAACTCAAGAATAACTCCAATATCCAAAAGCGGAGACACTGAAAATGTCACAAACTATAGGCCTATTTCAGTTCTACCATCATTCAGTAAAGTCTTCGAAAAAATTTTGAAAAAGAGACTATGCGCATTTCTGTCTAAGCATAATCTACTATCATCATCTCAGTATGGGTTCAGAGACAATAAATCTACAAATGATGCAATTCATTCCTTAACAAAAACTATTTATGAATCTTTAGACTCAAGTACTCCTTCTATAGGTGTGTTCATAGACCTAAAAAAGGCCTTCGATATTGTAGATCACACCATACTGTTAGATACACTAGAAGACATGGGCGTGAGAGGTATTGCACACATGTTATTAAAAAGTTATTTAACAGACAGAAAACAAAGAGTAAGAATTGAAAACCAGATCAGTACAGAAATGAGTATTACATGCAGAGTACCTCAAGGGACAGTATTAGGGCCGGTGTTATTCGTGATTTATTTGAATAATTTATTCATACAAGAAACAATAGGAAAAATTATCAGTTTCGCGGACGACACGGTTATATATTATAAAAATGATGACTGGTACAATCTTAAATTGAACATCGAGAAATATCTTGGGAAACTCAAAGACTGGTTTGATAGCAGATTACTTTCTATCAACTTCGAAAAAACTGTTTACTTACCATTCAGCAGCCTTTCAACATCTTTGCCAGAATACACTCTGGAAATCCAGAAGAATTTTTCAATCGAACCAGCAAAAAAAATTAAATATCTAGGCATTTATATAGACAACCATCTCAGATGGGACCACCATATGGATTATGTAACAAAAAAGCTACGTTGTATACTATTCAGATTCAAACAAGTTGGAAGATTTTTGAATTACAAATATAAAAAAATCCTATATCATAGTTTGGTAGAGTCACATCTGAATTATGGCATTATTGGTTGGGGAGGGGTATCAAGAACTCACCTGCATGCTCTTGAAGTCTCTCAAAGAAAATTCCTTCGAATACTACTCAACAAACCGGCAAGATATTCAAGCAATCTGCTGTATACTGACACACACATATTAGATATCAGACAATTATATAGTATTCAGATAGGCTGCCAACAGCACAAAAACAAAAATGAACTCACCACTCTAAATCATTCATACGCGACAAGGACAAAACATCAACATCTTATACCATTCTCTTCTAAAACCATAGTTCAGAAAAGCTACGTGTATCTAGCTCCAAAACTTTTCAATTTTTTACCACAGAAAATTAAAGATGAAATTTCGCCGAAACGCTTCAAAAATCAACTCATAACATTTGTAAAACAAACTGAAAGAACCCATATACACAAATTGATAGAGAGTTGAACTGAAAGAAAGAAAAAAGAAATTTTGTCATCTCATCTTTTTTTCTTAAATATACATGTTCACTTATCTCGTTAGACAGATCACTTCTTTATTTGTACATACCATACCATCTCATTCACAATATTTCACTCATTTATTCATATTTATATATTATTATCCATTCATCATCTTTTAACTATTGTAATTCTTATGTGAGTTTTTTTTTACATTGTATGTTTCTTCAAACAATTTATATTTTTATTTAGTTATCAAATTGTCTCATTGAACTTTTGTTGACTGTTTGTATAACCACAAACAAGTATGCATAATACTTCTGTGGAATTTGTTCATGTTTGTTCATATTATTTTAACAATTATTGTTATTATTGTACTGATTTTATTATGAATAAACATTATACCATACCATACCATACCATGGTGGTGTGGTTAGGACATTGTGCTGTTGGATCCTAACGCAGGATCAAGCTAGATCTAACCAAAGATTTAACTTGACAAAATTGGCATTTCCCCGCATTTACATTTCTGAGTATTCAGAAGACATTCATTTAACGCAATATTCTTTCGAAATAAAGTTGCATACTGTTTCGGTCCGCCATTCTTCATCTGTCGGCCTCGATCTGCTGACAATAGTGGTTACATTGAATTAGGGATTATATAGTAAAAGTAATGTATCGGGAAAAATTGATTTCACCACAGATGACTGTTGATTGGAAACATATTTGCAATATATCAGCTTTTTCGTTGCCATAAACAGTTATGGAACTATCGTTCTTCTGCTACTTCGTCAAGGTTCTTCCAATCACAGTTCTAGCCAAATATGATATATGCTTTCTTTCCATAATTCCTTCAAGATCTTGCCTTTTTTCGATATTGGTGCAAATATAGGTTGAGTTGTATTGTCAGCAAAGCTGAATATGCAAAGAACCATTCATATTGCAGTAAAATAACGTATTTCTGCTTCTTTGTTAGTGGTTGATGATGTTGCACTGGGGCAGACGTAGAATAATTATTTTCTCCGCACCTCCTTCCAAGGCTCGTCTGACCGAAATCTATGATGATTCTTAGTCCTGTTGGCTCATTGTATTTTACCTCGAATATGCCGTTATTGATTTTACCATACTACCCACGGTTCTTATATTCTTCAGATACCATCACAGTAACTCTAAACACTGCCGTTCACAGTACCAGAAGTTCGTTTGAAAGACCTTCATCGTTCAGGTTCTGATCTCGTCCATTGAGAATTGTTTTATTTCCCCTACGAGTAATGGGGGAAGGGGTTGGTCCAGCTCTATGGGGCCCCCTGCACGTGGCTAAGGCTGTTTACTCTGGGATGTCGCCCAGTTTCCCAGCGGTCCCGATATTTACAACTTATAATATCGGTGCCATTCATACCTTGTAACGGGTTCCTACAACTTGGATTAGGTTTCCAGAGCCTTGTTCATCAATCTACGGCCACATAAGCGACTGTTCCATCTGCGTGATGAGAAGAAAGATATCCAAGAAATGCTCCAATGCCTACCTACTCTCTCTATCCTCCCTAGGTACGCCCAATGTTCTCCGAACATAAAAGGGATTCCCTTTCGTGCGCTCAAAGAGATAAATAAATGCCGAGCACCCACGGCTTGACCACCCCACACCATGGTGAAGTTGGGCTTTGGGAAATGAAGAAAAGAAAGAAGAGTTGGGGAAGAATGGCCTCCTATGCTTCGAGGCATTTGATTTAGCCGATAGGAGAGATTGAAAACTGAATAGTGAAAAGGATACCATCCACTTGCTTTATCCACAGCTTCGCAGACGATAGTACTCTCCATACTGCGTTCTCTTTTAGAATGTCCATTTCTTCACAGGAAAAAATGAACTTACGACGAAGATCTTGCAGAAATTACAGCCTGGGAAACCAACAACCTAGTTGAATTCAACACCACGAAAAGTCAAGCGTGTATTTTCTCTAGAAAGCCAGAACTCAGTATGGCTGAAATAACAATATCTGGTATCACCATTCCCACTAAGACCACTATATCTATGCTCGGTATTATCATCAGCAATACTCTCTCATGGGGAAATCATGTCCAATCCAGCAAAAGCTGCTTCACAAAAACTCGGATTCTTGTTCCGTGCGAAAATCTACTTAACATCTCAACAGCTTCTCATGATCTATATACAAAGCACAGATACGGCCAGTTTTAGAATACTGTTCTCATGTATGGGGTTTAGCACCCAAACATACGCTGATGCTCTCAGATTGCATCCAGAGAAGAGCCATTCGCCTGGTGGGTGATGCCACACTCACTAATTTTTAGACCCCATTAGAACACTAGAAAATTCGGCTACCTTTCGCTATTCTATATATACTTCCACGGGAAATTTTCCTCAGAAATCTCTGCTATAATTCCATCACTAGCAATACCAGTCGGACGAACTCGACAGGCCCAGTCAGGACATCCCTCCGTCGTTAACCTTAAAAAATGTCGAACAACACTACAAAAATTCGTTCGTCTATAGAACGGCGGAACTTTGGAATTCTTTGCCAATGAAAGTATTCCCCAAAAAAATCCAAGACAAGTTGAGGATTGATGAGTATTCGGCTAGGGTACCTCGGGTTCGCCATTCTCGTACTCACAATTCATCACAGAACGATTCAGATGGTTTTAGGTACCTATTAACTTAATATATCATTATTTTTCAGAAAGTGAAAGCCGAGAACCAGCATTCATACTGATCTCGAAAGCCGGTTCAGAGGACATGATGAAGAACGTCACAGTCTCCACCGTCGAACTGCGGACAATTCCCACCAAGCGCAAACAAGCGAACAAAAACAAGAAGAAAAACTCCAACAAAACCGGCAACAGCGCATCGAACGGTAACAAGAACACCACGAAAACCGGCAACAAGACGAAAACCAAGGCCAAACAATCGAACAAGGACAGAGCGAGAGCCACGCTGTTTGGTTTGAGTTCGATCAAAAGGGACGGTGACGTCACGGTCAACATGGTGACCGACCATACGACCGTGAAGACCAATTTCATCATTGGACCTCTAACTTTGAGGGTCGAAAAAGAGGTGAGATCTAATTTGAAAAATATGTCGTGCTGTTTCACCATCTCATACATTTCTGCATGAGAGCTTTGTTGTTTGAAATTAGTTTAAGCGAGCTGCCAAAGTCGTTCACGGTTCTCTGCTTAGTAAAAATTCACCTGTTGTCCAAACCATCTACCATCTTTAATACTCTCATCATCAAAAAGCAGTATGCAGATACAGAGATTGCCCAGCAAACACAGTTACATCACAGAGATATCGCAGCAATGTAACAATAATTGTGACCTGTGATATCGAATTATGTGTCGCATTGACGTCGCTGCGATGTCAGAGGGATGTTATTTTGTCCCACTCAAGTTTTATCCAGAAAATTCTTTGAGGGTATATAAGATCAAGCACATCCCATATAGCACTCCACGTTCTGGGGACGTCCATTTTAGGTCTGAACGTCCGGGACCTTCTCAAAACGTCCATTTCTAGACGTACTGAATAAATTGTATAATGCTAATTGAAATCATTGCACATAATTTGTACCTCCGGTCTCTGATATCTTTTCATGTAGGAACCTTGCAAACATAAATCACAATTTATTTTGTTGTAGTATACTGACATATCAATAAGTGTTCTGTAGAGTAATAGGTAGAGCATCTGCCCGGTAATCTGAAGCCACCTCTGTCTAACTCGGAGGATTTTATCTATACAGCTCTTGCAATACGTACAGTCTTTTATATATACAATGTGTGTGATTATGTGTGATGTCAATATTATGATGAAAAAAAAACGACTTTAATACGGTAATCTGAAGGTCCTGGGATCGATCCCCGGTAGGAGCGCATTTTTTTAAACTTTTTATTCAAAATATGATCTGGTCTACTCTGTCTTGAACTCTTTTTCATCTACCTGAGTGAAAAAAGGCGAATTTACGTTGATTCAAGTATTCATGGTCATGAATGGACGTACTGGGAATGTACAAATGCTCGGACTCTGGACGTCCCCAGTACGTACCTAATACGTCTACGGTCCTAATCTGGATGTAGCCAGTACGTACGAAACGTCTTGGCCGGACATTCTCAGTACGTTTTGGGAACGTACTGGTGCTATATGGAATATTCATGGAATATTCCAGGAATATGGCAATATTAATTAGAAAATAGGATGTATAGTAGGCATATTCCTGGAATATGAGGTGCCGTCTGGGTCTAGGCCAGGGCCAGCTGTGCCTTATGGGAAATCCGCCACTGTCTTCACCTATAATATTGGAATTACAAGTATTCTCAATAAGTCAGTGAATTTGGGATAGCTCAACTGAAAATACCCATGATGTAGGGTAAGGTCGCCGATATTGTTCCGACTCTCAAATTGTACCGTCCCTGTATTTCATGAACAGCAAACTACTAGTGCCATCTGTGTATTTTTGTGATTGATCTAAAGCCATGAAAGTTGTAAACAATAATTGTGGGATATGCGTGCAATCTCGTTGATGAAATACCTTATTGGTTACTGATTTTTCGAATACACAAGCAAGTTTTTCATAGTTTTTCTCAAGATATTCAGAATGTTACACGATACATACAGGTTGTTTCAAAAAACCTGACCCCCTTGCTATGGTAGGTAGAGTAGAACACTGCAAAATAAGTTGGGTTTGCTCAGTGAAAAAATGTAACGGCCTCCGTTTTCATGATACAAGGTGTTGAAAAAAATATTTTTTTACACATTTTTCACGATTATGTCGAAACTACTGGTAACATTGTAATGAAATTTTGTATGGATATGTCTTGAAATTTGACACATTGTATGAATTTGTTTTTATATCTGACTATCATAGAGGGCGCTAGTTACACGGTTCGTACCGAGTAGTTTTGATCAGAACTTTTTTTTTGAGGTTAGATTTTTCAATCCAAATATAATATGAACTTGAACATCATTCAATTTTACACCAAAAGGCACAACTGGTAAAACTCGATGCTATGTTCCGTTTCCGGAATATTTCGATTTGAAAATAATGGAGTAGTTATGATGCTGGTATAAAATAATTTCATTGAGTTCAATTACCTATTTATTCAGATTCAAAAACAATAATACACGATTCTATATTCTTTTCTTAAGAATGTATTATTCTTCTAAACAGTTGAGCATCATCTGTTAGGTCATTTAAGTGATGTTCAATTATGTCTTACAATTCTTGACGTGACTGCTCAAGATACAACAAAACTGTGTAATCCATGTTCTTAGTCAAATCTGTTCCGATGTTATTCTTGTGATTCATTATATCAAATATATACAAATTCATCAATAAGTTTAGCATCAGAAATGTATTGTTGTTTTCGATTTTCAATAAATAGGTGATAATTTTTATACCAGCAACAATAGCAGCAGCAACAGCAGTTAACATTTTCAAATCGAAATATTCCGAGAACGGAACACAGTATCGAGTTTCACCAAGAGTACCATTTTGGTGTGGAATCGAATGATGTTGAATTCACATCAAATTTGGATTGAAAAATCTAACCTCAAAAAAAGTTATGTTGAAAACTACTCGGTACGAACCGTGTAACTAGCGCCCTCTATGAGAGTCAGATATAAAAACAAATGCATGCGATTTGGCGGATTCCAAGATGCATCCATACAAAATTTCATCACAATGTTGCCAGTAGTATCAACATAATCTTGAAAAATATGTAAAAAAATCATTTTTTCAACACCTTGTATCTTGATAGCGGATGCCGTTACGAAATTTTTATACTGAATAAACCCAACTTATTTTGCAGTGTTCTACCTACTGTAGTAAGGGGGTCAGGTTTTTTTGAAACACCCTGTATAATGGTCTGGTTACTTGATATTCTCAAACTGCATATAATAATACATATTTACATGGAACAGTTCGAACTTAACCTCGATCTTTCATCACCAACCATCATTTGAAATGAATATACTACTAGTGTCTCTAATCGTACCATCTATTGGTCACCTAAATTGTACCGGTACAACTATAGCAAATTCCATCTATGGGTTTCGCAATTGTGGAATATGACCAGTGAATATAGGCAGGCATGTTTTTTCGTATGTCGTATGACAACATTTCTCTGGCGCTGTAATAATCATAGGATGCTCTCCTTAGTTCTTGTTATGACTATAAGTGGTTCGGATTTCACTATAAGCTGTATGTCCCGCTCTTCCTAACCCCGCACAAGTTTCGACTTCTGAGGAGTTGGTTTCCTCCCAACTTACAACTTCGAAGTATAGGTATATGAAAAATTGTTTTTTTAATTTTTTGTTTCATTTCGATCAACTTCATGTTCAATATCTGTATCAAATCATGTCGGTATGAATAAGGAAACTCGGTACAATTTGGAAGACCCTCTAGTACAAATAAGGCAACTGATGGGTGCTTCAATTGTACAATTTGCAGAGTTTTCGAGAAATACGCATCTAGAGTAGAAAAAAATTTATTAGGACAATTGTAAACAATTCAGTATATCACATGAATGTTGATTATAACTTCTAAATATCCCTAATAAGACGATTACTTTAATTATCCTTGAAGAAAAGAATTGAAAACTGAAAAGTGGTCCAATATAGGCGACTTTATCCTACCAATTTTTAACCAACATTATCACAAATTTCAGTATGGAAAGGGAGCGCGAAGAGAACTCAAAAGTGCTACTGCCACAACGGCTGAAATGTACGGGAGACTGAATTTGAGGATAATGCATGGAGGTGCTGCAACCATGCACTCTATCAGAGTATTACAACCAAAACAGGTTAGTACCTAATTAATTCCTCAGTTTCCTCGTCAAGTTTCATTTGCAAATAATAATGATAACGATAATGATGTCTCTCTAATATTCTCATATCCCACTAAACATGATACTTATACTTATCAAGAATATTTTTCAGACAAACGTTTTTGTGATATTGTTTAAATAACATTGCGATAATGTCCTCCTGAAGCATCCAACATAATATAATGAAGTAACACGTTTATGAAACGTTGCATCAATATTGAAATTGATATTGAAATAGGTATGTTGATTTTAGGTTGTTCAGATATTTCTCAGACAGAGTTGTTATTCTATTTGTGGAACATTTTCGTTTCACCACCTCATAACGTAGCTCACGCATGTATATATCGGATACAGGGGAAAAATATTTTTTTCTACGACAAAGTAACCTTGTCAACTGTCAAAATTCAATTCAATTCCATTCCAGCCATTTTGTTCGTAGTCTATAATTATGGTGAATAGGTCAATCAGAGTGCGAAAAATATTGATTTTCTCAACTAGTCTTGAACTGAAACAAATTCGAATGTGAATATGAATTGCTCATGACCTACTTAGATTCCAGGTTTACTCTGCTGGAATATAGAAATACAACCAAACTATATCTGGTATTCCATAATATGTAAAAAAGTAAGAGGGATTCGTAAATACGGATTGTTTTCATATGCCACGAATTACAAAAATAATGGATGAGTTAGGTATATATCATAGCTCATAGCTAGAAGCAGAACACCGGATTATTCACGAGTCATATCCCTATGACTGGATTAATAAAGCAGAATAACTAAAATGATACTTAGAAAGATAGTAGTTAATCTGTCTCAAAATATCACTGTGTAACTATACTCATAGTGTTTTAGGAGTAGGGCAAGATCAATTCATTAAAACAGTTATATTCAGAGATAAATCATTGATATTCTCTGTCTTCTCTAAAGATCATTCAGATGATTTTCTTGATGATTCCAGAAAAAATAGACATAACCCAAACAATCCTAGAAAATAATTAGAATGTTATTATACAATATTGTTCAAATGTTTTGAGTAACATTAAATATAAGTTATGAAGTAACATTGATTCTATGTCATTTCCGATATATTTATATGATATTTAGGATTAACATCACATTGTGTAATATTTAAAAGAGGTACAAATAAGGCATATTACCACAACTAATCTGTGACATTAAGCATCTCTCTGAATAACATCACAAAGTAACATGTAATATAACATTTTTGTTCAATGTAAGAACTTCACAAACGATAAGATTTCCAGAAAATTCACACGACACACACGACATGTTTCGCTAACACAGTAGCTTCGTCAGGTGATATACTGGTACGATGAACTAAATTAACCTGAAGGATTAATTACCTTATTCGATTAACCTTCATTTTCGGAAATTATATATATTATGGAAGGGAAGTCGTTGCTGACCAGTAGGAATGAAACCAGTGTATATTGGGGGTAGCAGCAGTGTAAAAGAAATACTCTTTAAAGTTAATTCAAGCTTTCGGAAATGTTTATTTCCATCATCAGGAACACTACAATGATTAGAGAGCCATGCCTTGTACTTATATCTTTGGTGAGGTTGGTTACAACGTTGTTCGATATATAAAATTGTATATGAAACGGTGACATATATTTTTTTTCACAATATGTCACCGTTTCTTACAGATTACAGACCCTTCAACACCCAGCTCTACTGGGATGAAATGGTCTTGACTAGAGTCACTGTCTTGACTAACTGTCAGGAAGGCACGTTAGTGTGGTACACTGACGGTTCTAAGACTGATGAGGGCACGGGATCCGGAATATATGGAGATAGACCCAGAACTAGGATGTGTGCTTCCTTGGGGAGCTATGCTTCAGTATTCCAGGCAGAGGTGCATGCTATTGAGGCATGCCTGAGAGAGAATATTGTAAGAGGATACAGAGGTAAACAAATCCTAATATGCTCAGATAGTCAGGCGGCCATTCAATGTTTAACATGCAATAAAATCAGATCAAAACTGGTCTGGGATTGCCTTCAAAGCCTGCTAACCCTGGCTAACCACAATAAGGTAACTCTTCAATGGGTGCCAGGGCATAAGGGAATTGAAGGCAATGAAGCAGCTGACGCTCTTGCCAGGCAAGGGTCTGCGACGTTGTTTATGGGACCGGAACCTGTGTTCGGTATCCCCAAAACCTCGATACGCGGCTGGCTGGCAAGGTGGATGCAAGAAAGACAACAGGCATACTGGAACAATGTCCCAGGACAAAGACACAGTAAACTGATGGTTGGAACACTGTCCAAAACAGTGACTAACGACATTCTCAGCCTAAACGGAAGTCAGATCAAACAAGTGACGGGATTAATAACCGGTCACTGCTCGGGTCACTGCCACTTGAGGAAACATATGCATCAAATGGGCATCTATACAGACGAACCCATATGCAGACTATGCAATGAGGAGGAGGAAACTGCCACCCATGTAATATTGAAGTGCGAAGCACTAGCGCGTTGGGGATACAACCTTCTGGGAGCAGTAAATTCTCAAGAGGCATTTTCAAAGAATGATTTGGTGAAGAAGCTGCTAAACCTCATCAAGGTAGCGAACCTGTTCACCTAAGTCAACAGCATGATCAGGAATACAATAGGCCCAAAGGCTGCGGTGTTTTGGGCTTCGAACCCTGACTGATCATTCTGCTATTAATCAATCAATCAAGGCAAGGTTAGTTTAGTTCATCGTATCAGTATATCACCTGACGAATAAGCTACTGTGTTAGCGAAACATGTCGTGTGTTTGAGAATTTTGTGGAAATTTTATCGTTTGTGAAGTTTTTACATTTGCCATGGATTTCCATGAAGTAACGGCCGAGTTAATTCAACATTTTTGTTTAAGTTATGTTTCAATGTTTAGTGGGATATGAGACAAAATATAATTGATAATTCCAACCTCGATACTCTGTTGCTCGAAAATTTTATGTGAACATATTTCACAGGTTCGGGTAGACAGTGCCGATGGTCATGACAAAACCAGGGAGTACATGTGGAAGCGAAGTGCCCACATCGCATCTCTAGTCTCTCAGAAGCTGGCTTCAGCAGCTAGATCTATGATGAAGAAGCCTGCCAGTTCAGTCAGTTCAATGTGATGGAGATCTTTCAAAAGTCGTTGAAGTACGAAAATGAATTGTTATTTGCATGAATTTTACTTTGGGACCTGTCCAAGATATCACAGTTAAGTTATTTATTTGTTCTACGGCTATAACATATTATATCAGATGCATGTCGAAAAGCCGAAGAAATACAAAAGTTCGCTGTTATCAGTTACAGCCGTAGAAAAAGTATAGTGTATAACTCGCACGGAATGCTGATTTCCCACTTGTATGATTTTCAGCGTGGGAAATGACTATTATTCCCTGCTCGTTATACAATATAATGTTTCACTTGTTATAATGTATTTTCTGAAATGTTTTCGAAGTATTCAATATTCCGATAATTGCAACAACATTTCAATAGGGCTAAGATTAAAGTATGAAAAATTAACATTTACTTCAGTCTTCATAATTGACTAATAGAATTATGTCAAAACAGATATGTTCAATATGTTCTAATGGCTTTTATACAGCGTGTCTCACTTTAAAAACCCCCCTTCCTCTATAGCTCAGCTATTAGTCGGGCGATTCGTAACAAATACCAGTTTTCCAGAGACGAACATCCTTTTGGACAGTGCCGTGCTTTATTATTGATATAAGAAGGGGTTGATTTTTATGAACTCATATTAGGAATTTTTATTAATTATTGTTCCCCATGCTTTAGAACCTTCATATGCAATAAATCACCGAACTAACAGGATTGATTTCGTTTTATATCATTTTTAGCCTCAAAAAAATACAGAATTCAAATTTACTGCATATTTTGGAACGTTAGCTAGAAAATCATGATTTGAAAGGAAAAAACAAGATATACTATTATATGTTGAACTAATCGCCGTCTCCGAGCAAATTTTCTTGAAACACTTCATAGGAATCATATGAAAATTCACATATGGGTGTTTGAAATCATGAAGAAGTCTTCCTGTGAAACAATTCCTGATATGATTTCATGAAAAATTGTCTCCTTCACATTTTAATGAAAACGGACGGCACGCAGTCTAAAATGAAACTAATAATATTGGTGGTTATTCATACCGGTCTAAATTTGTTAAAGATCGAACGACTAATAGCTGAGAGTAGAGGAGGCCGTTTGAAATGAAAAACGAAAAACGCTGTATATGTTGGTGACAAAAAAACAAGTATTTTGTCCTTTTATGGTGAAATCAATCAGTACCTATATATATGTATATGCAGTTAATTGAAAGAAAAAAGGATGAGTGATATTAAAAAAATTAGATATTAGAGATATATATTTGGAAAATCTATCGTCATGGTGCCTATATTCTTGAAGGTGATTTTAAAAATAAGTAATTTATTTATTATTTAATATTTATTACCTAATTACGTAAATTTGTTATTACCCATGTGTGGCGAGATGTGTGGTATTAAGAAAAATATTAATGAATAAAACTTTGTTTGATTACTTCCCAATTTTTTTCAGATGTTTATAGATTATGAATTAATATCCGAGTTCATATCTTTGAAGTTTCTTATTTTTATTGTAGTAAAAGGAGAAGCAGTTCTCCGTGCTAATCCTGTGATTTTGTGTGAGGCAGAAGACTTCAACAAAAGGCACATTTTTGCACTTTGTCTACAAACTTCGGCGATGAAATCTTCCCCACATGAAGTAAAATTGAAGTTGGGGTCCAGAGGAACTCCTGTAGAACAATGGATTTGTATTTGTTCATGCAAAGCAGGACAATCTGGGTATTGTAAACATGTTGTAGCTGTTCTTTCATATGTCAATTGATTTGCTCGTCATAATTAGATTGAATTGTTTGAACTATCTCCAATTATTCACCCGTTCACTATTCACTAAACTAATAAAAATGTAATAATGTAAAAAAATCAACCAACTCAACCATCATCACTACCAACAGTGCCAACACTTTATGTCATTGACAAGTTTGACTACAGCTACAGCAAGCTGAATGCAATGTAGTCTATGCACTTCATCCATAGACAACAGTTTGTTTTCCCCTCGGTTTTCCCCCAGTTTGAAGTTCGTATTATGTATCCTAGATGTCGCCCATTTCGTGAATCTCGCGAATACAAAACTTTGATGGAAAACGGATTTCGTTGTGTGTCAGTCTGTCATTTATCTTAAGAATCAGAAGAGGCTGATGCGATTTTATATAGATTTTATTGATTAGCAATAACTTACATCTTCTAAAATCTCTCAAGAATCTCGAAAACCCCTCAATATTTTTGTTTTCATTCAAATCAGAACAACGAACAATACTTAATACGTGTCAATTGTCAGTCAGTCATCCCAAAGGGATTTGAAAGTTCGCATTTTATAACAACAGTTTGATGGATTTCCACTCGGATTTCCATGAACATTTTAGCGGAATTTTGCAACAGTTTGTTGGTTTCTTCGATTCATGTGCATGACAAAAAGATGGAATGAAAAACGCACCCAAGTATTTTCATTCTAGAAGTTTTTTGTAACCCTCCTATTCGCGATAGAAAATAACACGTCTCTCCACCTGACGGCAGGAACTTGAACACTTCTGAGCGGTTTGTTTTGATGGGCTAATGATGACCAATAAGTAAAAACAGAAAACAAATGTGAACCAATAAAAACAAAGTAAACATGCCGCTTTGACGGCTTTCAAGAACTCCGATAGGTGGCGTACGCGAGCAGATCAGTGTTGCCAGCTTAGTGGATTTCACACTAGATCTGGTGGTTTGAGTTCTCGTTTCGTGACAAAATATGGTGGATGGTGTTTATTTTGGTGGATTTTTTCAATTAAATGGTGAAATCTGGTGGTTGAAGACGCATCCGAAATGCCTCTTGTTTCATACAATAATCACAATAATATTTTAATCTTAAAGTTTTTATATAGAAATAAAAATAGTTTTCACTGAAATCAGTTTCTAACAGTTATATCCAAATTTGACTTCTTTTGTACGATCTCAAAGGTTGTTTTTTATTTCTTGTTTTATATGTACACAGTGAAGAATCCTATAAGGCCTGTTCGTTTGTATTGCATAACTTGCTTAAGTTGCTTTTTTTTCATAGTTGTCTCTGTTCATGGCATGATGTTAACAAAGAAAGTCATAAGAAAAAATCAAGTTCAGCAGGTAGAGCAAGGACAAACGAACAGGCCTATAGAGTGAAGCTTTGTCAAAATATAAATGCACAATTAGTTCCATGAAGAACTGAAATTTTGATGAATGTCAGTCAAAATTGTGTAGGTACATGATTTCTCGAACAATGTTCATACTACTTGAGACATTTTGTCACATTTTGAGTCAGTAAAATTCAAAGGGTAGCAATAAAATGAATATGTGGACCTGGAGTTAAAATTAACTAAAAATTTTTTACCGTGTAACATAATATAGTATAGAATTTGCGACCTTCGGAAATCTGAGTTGGCAATACTGGAGCAGATTTGCATTCCATATCATTTCTAATATACAGGGTTGGGCAAAAGTATGGAACCAGGTGAATATCTCGGTAACCGTTTGTTAAATTTTTCTGAATATATGAACAGGGTGGTTTCAAAACGTGGTGGATTTGAAAATGTTATCGTCGATGTTGCCACTTTTTCAGTTATTCCGGAATTATTATTAACTTATTCCTTATTTCAACTTTCACCTCGACTTTCACCCTGTATTTAATTGAATTTTCAGATTCTTCCTGAAGAGCTGATTTCATCGATTTATCACACTTGGGGTCTAGCAAGAATGATTACTGAGATATAGGGTGTTCATATAAATCACAATTTTTCTATTTTAGTATTTTTTTGTGTCGAAACTATTCATTATCGGTCAAAACGGCTTTCACGTCTCTACCTCAACTTTTGATTTCACTATCTATTGATGGTATTTAATGGGAACAAATACAGAGGGTGATCAGATTTCTGAATCTTGAACTACCCTGTATTTATTTCAATTAAATGTTGGTAGGTAGTAAATCAACAGTTGACGTAGGGATATGCCGTTTTGACCAATAATGAATAGTTTCTACACAAAAAAATCCTTAAATCGAAAAATCTTGATTTTGAACACCCTATATCTCAGTAATCATTCTTGCTAGACCCCAACTATGATAATTTGATGAAACCAGATCTTCAGGAAGAATCTGAAAATTTAATAAAATACAGGGTGTTTTGTTCAAAATAAGGAAGTTAATGATAATTCCGGAAAAACTGGAAAAGTGGCAACATCGACGATAACATTTTCAAATCCACCACGTTTTGAAATCACCCTGTACATATATATTCAGAAAAATCTAACGAACGGTTACCGAGATATTCACCTGATGGTTCCATACTTTTGCTCAACCCTGTATATAAGATAGGATATGTATAGTGGGTACATCTGTTCAGAGCTCACATTTTGTTCTAGAAATGTGGGTACATAGATATCCAGATTCCGAGTAAACTTCATAAGTAAGTACTGACCTGTAAACAATAATGCATTTGATATCTTCCGATTCCGATGAAAGCTTTCGTGAATCAAACTTTATATGGGCTAGCGTAAAAGCTTGAGTGATTTATTTTTCTTCATTGTATGATCTAACCTCAGAATTCAGATCATTACTGAGTTATTATTCAATCCAAGAGAGGAACAATAAAGAATAACACTTCCAGATATATTCATTTAGGAAAATAACGATACAATCTGATCGACTGACGCCATTTCTTGAAGCCCAAAAAAGTCTGATACAACTACAATAATAGGCGACAATAGGTGAACAAGTTAAGTTATGATATTGGTAACTCAACTCACCTATATCACCGTGTTCTCACTCGTGGTTCTCACCATGTTCCTCAAAAATCGCACAAAAACGCACTTGTGTCTTGACATAAGCATCTCAGTCTTGACTTACTCAAATTTTCACTTGTGAGACACAAGAAACGATACTAACATCCACGATCAGCATCATTAATCCATCAATCCCGTCGAACAAATCACGCACAATGGCGAATATTAATTAGACATGAGAATTAATAACGTAACGATTTGAATCAAGTTCGTGAAAATACTCTGTTACGAAAAATGATAGAAAGAATACTCTGAAGGAGACATTGAAATATGACTCGCAAAAGATCGCATAGACATAGATGTATAGAGAGTCAAATGGTGTTATCACTTATTCCTATTGAAAGGAGCTTCGAAATCTCTCGATAACGCCTACTTTGTAAAAATAGCGAGGCGTGGGAAAATCTTGCTGAATTTCCGAAGTTTCAAACCAAATTTACAGGCATCATGACACATTCATTTGAGGTCACATTTTCATTTTCACAACTTTTTGTTTAAATGGAAACGGTGCGTCATATTTTCGACTTTCAATATGGTGGTTCATGAACGACACGAAGTCCTAACTCAAGAAAATCCTGTGATAAAAGTTCATTTCCTCACTTTTAATACATAAAATAAAACGAATGTTCTGATTTTCGAATAATCCTCACGCATTTTTGCAGCAGTCAGGCCATGATGAATGCACAATACACTCACTCAAATAATAATATGATATCATTGATATCTACCTGCTCAATAAACTACTAATGCTCATAATCTAAAATCTATGATATTTCTATGTACAATTTGATCAAAATCTTGAATATGCAGAAAATATGCCACTCGTGACAGATATGTCATGATCAATAAGATTTTCACGCACGGATTGTTTGTTGGGCCCTATCTCTTTTGCGCCCTGTCTCTATAGATGCTTCTTATCAGCTATAATTGAACTCGTGCATCATCAGCGGGACTCTTCAGGTCCCGAAAGAAGGAAAACACATCCTTGAAAGTCTAGTTCAACTTCATAATAAGATCCGAAACGTAATTTGAAAATTTTTCAAGAAATTGTCCATCGTTCACGTCATATATCATCGAATATAAGAACCCCACGTTTCGAAGTCGCATTCAATTGTTCATATCGAGAGCTAGTCTGACGAAACAATTGAAGAGTGAGCACACCAGAGGAATTATAAACATCTCAGCATTCATAGGTCAGTTTACTGTAAGGAAACAGCGACGTTCATCTGGAGATGTAGCTGAGTCAGCCCAAATAAAGAACAAATTAAAACGTCTCACAAATATGTTATTATCACTTATGAAAGATGTTATCTCAAAAAGGTCACCAAAGGTACAAGAAATTAACGTTAACATACCTCCCCGGGATCTCTCTTGCTCAGTGGATTCTTTCACGAAAGTCATGCACTGTTTAAATTTGAAATATATACCAAAATAGGCTTTTCTTCAAATTCAATGTGAAAAGTGTTATCAATCTGGACGGGAGTAGTCTTTTTTTATTTTCATTTGGGCACCCATATTTAACGAAAACAAACATGTAGGAAAAAATAGGAAAAAATGTGAATTTCTTATGGGGAATTTCGATCGAAATAGGTTGGCAACACTGGAACCCTTCCTTCCGTGAAAATCGTGAAAAAATAAAATAAACAATAAACATAACCACAAAGATCGTGCCACAAAGTATCTGATGAAGTGATGAATATTTCAAAGTAAACTCAAATACATGAACAAAAATAGGTAAAATGTCCTTCTCATTGACAAATACAATGTATCCAGCGAATCACAAAACTGTGTTCGTTCTGGACCACACACCATACTTCGGTATATCCTGTGAAAATCCTATTGAATTCGAATTCTTGAAAAGTCGTACTCCTGGTTTTATACCTATGAATCCGATATCAAAATCCCTTTGGACTTCCAGTGTTGAGTCAGCTATAGAATACTGCAGGATAGTATGGGACTTGTTCCCTACAGGAAAACTGGTAATACAACTATTCTGATTTCTTCTGTCTCAGATGAGGGAGCTCAGACTGTATTATTTTTAGGTTCGATTCATTGCAAGTGATACTGTGGCACACATTCTGAATACTTGGAGTCCATTACAACAAAATTTAACACATGTAAGTAGCTACAGTCTTTTTTATAGATTGTTCATTGAAGTTCCAAATTCCAGATTATGAATGGAATGTCTTTGATTGGCATTCCACCTCCCCCTGTGCCATTAAGATCAGTGGGCACACCCCAGGATCATACAGTACTACATGGATTAAGAGCTGCTATAGAGGCTATAAGTGAACCCACTGATTTACAGGAAAAGCTTAAAAGCTCTTTGGATGGGCAAAAGATCTTGAATAAGTGCAGAGTGATCTGCATTACTTCAGCTAGGGATAATGACAGTATGAAGAGATTAGAAGATATATTTCTCACTGTTCTTAATCAACAAAATAAAGCTTCTGCCACTTCTGATAAGTAGGGAACATTCTCATTTTTATTCTGCAATAAAAAATGGCACTTTAATGTTTCATATAACTTTACCACAAACAAGTTCAATGTTTGTCATGCTGATGATATCACATTATTTAGGTACCTACTATTTGAAATAGGTGAATTGCAGTAAATTCAGTCCTTTTGTAAAATAACCAATAATCATTACTGAGTTGGCTGCTGGCTTTGTGTGTAAATATAAAATGAAACTTTTGTTCTATCAATAAGGTTCAAGAATATTCATTGCCTATACAAAATCAGTAAGAAACAATGATATAATATTGATCCTATTCAATCAGCATTCTTGAGATACTGAATATTTTTTCTAAAATAATGAGTGTCATTTTTCAATCATCTGGTGAATACACTGCTGAAACTTCAATAAAATCATGTTTTTCAGATCACTCTCTATTGATCATTGCCATTTAGTGATAATCAATACATTTCCAATAAGTATTGATTCCCAAGTAAATAACCATCCTCCAAAAGTTGTGAGTTGCAATTGATTCATATTTTCTGTGAAACTAATGCTTCATATATTTCAGCTATCCCCTATTTTAACAACTGAAGTACATTCTATTAAGGCACCTCATATTCCAAATAAATTTTCTTCAATCATATTGGACCATTATGATTTGGCAAGTACCACAGTAACAGGAATACCCATGAAGGAAGAACAAAATGCTTCTTCTTCTGCAAATTATGATGTTGAAATATTTCATGTTAGTTCTGCACATACTGCCATGTTGAAGGGAAATGCCTCAGATTCAGCTGCTATAAGAACTATAAAGGATGGTTTGGAATATGAAACTGTAAGATTTTTTCAAAGTTTTTCCTACACTACAATTTATATTTATTGATTATGGCTAATGGAAGTATTCCCAAGAACTTATAACCTCCAAGAATTCATAAAAAATCCTACACCTACCTCCTCTCCCTATCCTCCCTATTGTCATACATTATAGGAATTTCCTTTCATGCAAATAAGAAAAAGAGAAACCAATTATCCATTAGAGAGACCTGAGAATGAAACTAAATCTCATAGGTATTTCATTTTGAATTCCAAAATCCAGTCAAAAATGTTATTGCATTAGATACCTACTGGAGAATATTTCTTATTCATTCCATATTTACTTATTATTATATCTATTTTTATAAATTCACAATTCAGTGCTCTCTAAAGTATGGAATAAATTCGATACTTATAATCTAAAAGCCTTCTTAAAAAAATCTGGAACATGTTGATTTTTAATTTCAATGTTCTTCATTTTACAACAAAAATGTCATTACACATAGTGATACACATTCAGGTGATGATGTCATCAGTATTGACTATTCTGTGGAATTTCTTATCATCCTGGTGGCACTGGTCATTTGGGTGAATGTGTGGTGGAATGTTAGACAAATAAGGGTATTTGACATAATAATTTTGTTGTAATCATAAACCTTGTAGAATAAAAATAGTAGATACAGAATAAGGAATTGGTAGGTACCTACCTACTGATGGAGAAGATGACCCAAAAAAAGAGGACAAATGTGCATATAACTCATGGAAATATTCAGGAGTCAATCTGAAATGGCTCTGAAAGGTCATTGTATTGAATCTTGGTATAACAATCTCAATTTTCAATTTTTTGGGCTTTTTCCGAGGGGTAAACCATAGTCAAAATTGTGTACAGTAAACTTCAATTTCGCAAGGAATTCCAGGGAATTTCAAGGAATTTCAAAGAATTCCAGTTGTTTGTACACCAGAATTATACTGCACTTCACACAAGGAATTCCAAGAAACTCTAAGGAATTCCAGGGAATTACAAGTAATTCCAAGGAAATCCAAGGAGTTTCAAGGAATTCCAGAGAATTCCAAGGAGATCGAAGGAATTCCAAGGTAATTCAGTTAATTCCAAGGAAATTCCAGTTGTTTTTAGCCCAGGAATATACCACATTTCACCAAATGAAATTCTAGAGAAATCCAAGGAATTCCATGGAGATCCAAGGAAATCAAAGGAATTCCAAGGAAATCCACGGAACTCCAAGGAATTCCATTTGTTTGTACACCAGAATTCTACCGCGGTTTACCCCTCGGCTTTTTATGAGGCTTTTTCATTACATATTCTGAAAAAAATCAGTATGTAACATTCATCATCCTGGATTTAATTTTGTCATCTGAGTTTCAATGCACTTTCCATCTCCATAATATGTTGCTCACTGCATGATTCACTACAATATTCTCCATTAATATATAGGTACTATCAAAATTTGATAATATTTAATAACACATAACACCAATGTCTAGGAAATGATAATTGATTAGTCATAGTTAGAAATTCCCACGTACCTACCCCACTGCTTGCACATATATACCAAAACCATTATTCAATATGTATATATCATCAATCCATGGATCCAATCCAAAGATCCAAAAATTGATCTAATCCAAACTTTGATGTTTTTTATTGATGATTATTATGCCAATTTGATTGCATGTAGTTTTCACATGGTTCTCGTCACATCAATGTCATTCTTCTTTCTTTGCCGTTTTATTCGTTCCTACACAATTCTTACACCAGAGTATTACAAACAAACGCGACAAATACCTGGAATCAGCTCATTTTTATTGATCTAAAAATGTCACAGGGTTTTTTCCTAGTTGAAAAAACACCAGTCGGGCAACCAGCCATTTCCATTTTATCTGAAATGGGAATTTGTTTTGGGGTGTTTCTTTCCTTCTACTCAGGTGGCGTTTGTGTCCATCTTGTAGATGCCAAACGCTTTGTGGGTATCAAATGCTGGGATGTGTTTATGCTGGGACAGATTCGCACCAGATGGCGGTCAAGAGGTCATCTGGAGACACCTCTGCACTGATGAGAGCCCAAAGCTTGCAACCGGTCTATAGGTAGTCTTGCATTCCTGAACAATTTGGGCACAGCTCGGCATTTAGGAAAGAATCACTTGCAGCTGTATTTGTCTTTAGGAATATTTGCATAGATATCAGGGGGATGTAATTCAATGTTCTGCATGGCATACAGCCAGGAAAGTATCTACCATTTTTGTTCGTTTTAACGTCTTTATTACTTCTGAATAGAAAATAATATAATATAAAATATGGGTGGATAATAATTTTCAGAAGCAAAGGGCGAAGTTCAACTCAGTTTCTAGATGACTCCGTCCACTGAATTGCTCTACCACTTAACCCTCAAATAGCTCTACAATTCAACATATAGGAACAACAAAGGAAGAAATTAGAAAAAGTGAAAAAATAGTATCATATGGATGATAACATGATAATAACTGATACACAAATGGGAACATAATATAATAGGAAGTCTGAATGTTGTTATTGATTTGAATTAAACAGATGTGAAAATATATTCGTTTTGAAAAGTTCTGTTTTGAAAGGGGGAGGAGACAGTACTCCTCTAAACCTAATATTCACATTGTGAACGTCCGTACGGAAAACAATTTTTTTATGGAGATAGGAAGGTTTTTTACTGATGATGAATCTATGAAAGAGGTTAGCGGTCTGATGAAGTCTCCTGTTTTCCATAGTCAGCCAACCAGCATCTTTCATCTTATGAGAGATTCTCTGGCCTCTTCTTATTCCATACATCAATCTCAAGCATGAATTCTGGAGCTTCTGTATCTTATTTTTGTAAAGTTTTGTTAAATGTGGTCCATAGACACAATTGGCATAATTGAAATGTGATAAAACGATAGTTTCACACATGCCTAACACCATAAATAGTTTTCAGCGAAGAATATGCACGTCGCAAAAGATTATCAACATTCTTTTCAAATCTAAGAGTATGATCAAGGATGACCCCAAGATTTTTAGCTTCCTCTACCAGCTGAATTGGTTCCCCATTTATTGATATAATTATCTAGTACTGCAGATCGTTTGGTTTCGGGTCCAAACAGTAACACATTAGACTTATTACGAGAGTTCAACAATAGACAATGGTCTGTGGCACATTAAAATTAAAAATCAACAAGGTCCTGATTTTTTCGAAAATTATGTTAGGAAATATAGAATTCATTCCATACTTTATCTACACACTGTATGTACTATTAGGGTACTATGTAGGTACTTCTTCATAAATTTTCAGACCACATTGAAATGGTGTACACCAAGAGGTGTGATGGGCTCAGAACTACAAAACTGTACATGTATGCATAGAATTACTCCAGTTGATGTGAACTCAAGACCATCATTATGTCTCATAAATTTCCTCTTGAATGGAAGATCAGTAATGTTGGAAATGCCTAGGAAAGCTGGTGGTAAAATCACCAGCCATCTATTGGCAGCCCATGGAGGAGAGATCTTTATTCACACCTTATGTACAGCAAGGTAATCCATTCAAATTATCTTCCAAGCATATTGAACTAATCTGAATCTGAATAGGTAGACGTTATTTTTGTCTGAATGCTCGTTTCATTGACTATTGATTTCATAGATATTATTATTGTATCTCTTCAGAATTGGATTTTACAGGATGATAATCAAAGCTTTGCTTTTTCCAAAAATTTCAAAGGCCTCCCGTTTGAAAGAATTTTTTTCTTGGTACTGTTTAAACATTTTTGGAATTTTCACTTGTTACTGAAATATGAATATTTTTATAAGAGAATGCATAATTTGATGCTCTAATTCCTATTGGCTTTGAGTTCTTGTCATTCTGGTTCAAACAGTGGTCAAAAATCTTGAAATGGTGCATGATCAACATATTATTATATACAGGGTGGTCCTCAAACAACAATTATGTCATCAAGTGTTTGAAAAAATAAAATTCTTGTTTACCATATACTACGTTTCAAATAAGAAGACAATAGGTGGCGCTGCCTCTGTAGGAATATTTACCCTGATTAAATGAATAATGGCGCCTAATTCAAAATTATGGCCACTCTAATGATTTGTTCCCAGGATTTATTGAAACATATAGAAGATACAACGAATAAATGGAATGTGATGATGTGATCATCTTTCCACAAAGAAAATTTCATTCTTTACGTCACATCACTATTATAATATTATAGGCAGGTGTAATATTGCCTCAGATCTTAACCAATCAAAGTGAAGGTCAATGCTTCTCTGTGGTTGCCAATGCTGTCTTCTAAGTTGGAATGGATTATAGTTGCTTTATGCTGCCTCTACCTAATCAATGAGTATTAAACATTACATCAGCGTTAATCTCGAAGTTAATATAATTATTATTATAAGTAATAAGCTACAACACATGAGAGGGAAAATTTTAGTATAATGGGTTAATTATAGCTAATTAAAAATAAATTGATTAATTAAGAATTTATGAATTATTGAATAAATGATATATCTGAAGTTCCCAATCGTATTTCAACATTTGGCAACTGTGCTATTGTCTGCCCCTACTTACGAAATGGTGACGTCAGTTTTTATTCGGGGTTTTCTAGGGTTTGAAAATTATCGTGGCATTATTGATGATTTTAGCATCTTAAAATCGACAGAAAAATCTAAAAAAATATGGGATTGAAAGGTAATTGAGTGATGATTCTATTTGTTGTGTAGGTCATCATTATTAAGTATTATTGACCTGCATATGTATTTATTTATATCCTTGTTTATATATCACACTGTATAGACTATAGATCTCTAGTTGATAGTTGATTATTATATGAATGTTTGGCCAGTAACATAGATACGAGATTGTTTAACAAACTGATTTAAAATGCTAATAAAGATAAAATGTTATAAAAACATTTAAAAAGTGTTTATTTATAAAATAATAACATAAAACATGGTGTCAGAAGTATAAAAAAGAACCTGATAGAAGAATTAGTAAGAAGGAAAGTGAAAAAACCTATAATATTCACAATAGTGACAGAAATTGACGTCTAATGGAAGCTAGAATGGAATACAAATCTCCACCGCCGTTCGATATAAATGAACCCTGCGTTTGGCCGAAATGGAAACAGAAATTCACCATTTTCATGAAAGCATCGGGTAAATATTTATCCGAAGAAGATGTCAAGATTGCAGTTCTACTACATCTCATTGGAGATAGCGGTCTTGATATATACAACACTTTCCCACAAGGTAAAACTGAAACTTTAGATGATGTGCTACAATGTTTCGATTCATATTTTTTACCTAAGAAAAATGTTACTATGGAAACATTCAAATTCAATAATATCATACAGAAAGATGAACAAAATATAGATTCATTCATTACGGAATTGAAGAAACAAGCTACAAATTGTGGATTTGTGTGCGCTAATAATACATGCAATGAATCATACGTGGATAGAATGATAAAAGATAAAGTTATATTAGGAATAAAGGACAAACAAATACAACAGAGATTGATCCGAGAACCAGATATGACTTTACAGAAGATTCAAGAATATTGTAAATCTATAGAATTATCCAAGCAGCACTTGAAGTTATTAGCTCCAGAAGAAGAAATCCATGCTGTGAAAACTAAACACAAATGCAAGAAATGTGGTACTGAACATGGATGGGGAAAATGTCCAGCCTACAATAAAATATGTTCCAGTTGCCAAAGAAGACATCATTTTGCCAGTATGTGTTTTTTCAAGAAGGATAGCAAGAATACAGTAAAGGAAATGCAAGACAATAAGGAAGTTAAGCAAGAAACTACAAGTAATGAAGTAGTACCAAGAAATCGAAAAGGAAATGAAGAGGAATCTGAAGACAGCATAAGGGTCATCGAAGAAATAAGAAATATTGATGCTGAAGGAAGGAGAGAAAACCACCAATCAGAGTATGCTGAAAGAAGTTCTCAAGAAATAGAAGAAAAAGGATTTGTAGGTGATAATGAAGATAATATTTTTATTTTTGAGTATAAAAATCATTCATTTAACACAGCTTCTAGTTGGTATGAATATATTAATATTGGTTCAGAAAGAATCAGATTCAAATTAGATTCAGGAGCAGAATCAAGTGTCCTTCCAATAAAATATTTTGATAAATTGAATCTCACGAAATCAAAAATTGAACATTCTGTAACTACGATTATATCATACGGAAATTTCAAATTCAAAACAATTGGTCAAATAACATTAGAATGTTTTTGTAGAAATAGATCTTGTAATGTTAGGTTTCTAGTAGTTGATCTTGATTCTGAACCATTGCTTGGTCTAAAAGATTGCATTAATTTCAATTTGATACACCGTGTTGATTCAGTACAATATAAAATATTAGAAGAGAAAAAATTACTTCCAAAAGATAAAATTTAACAGAACTATTTGAAGGTTTAGGATGTGTACCTGGTTTTGTAAATATTAAATTGAAACAGGATGCTGTACCTGTTATTCAAGCACAACGTAAAGTACCTTTGGCACTACATAGTAGACTCAAAGAAGCAATCACTAATATGGAAAATAAAAATATAATCAGTAAAGTAGATTATCCAACTGATTGGGTTAATTCATTGATGATAGTTGAGAAACCTAATGGTTCTCTTCGATTATGTTTAGATCCAAAACCTTTGAACAAATATATATGCCGTGAACATTATTTGATTCCCAAATGTGATGATATTTTAAGTAGATTAGAAAACAAAACTATATTTTCTGTCATAGATATGAAAGATGGTTTTTGGCAGTTGCAGTTGAATGAAACTAGTTCTGATCTATGTACATTCAATACACCATTTGGCCGTTATAAATTCAATAGGGTCCCATTTGGAATATCTTCAGCACCAGAAATATTTCAAAGGAAAAGTTTTGAAATATTTGGTGATATTCCAGGTGTGGAAATATATTTTGATGACATTATTGTAACAGGAACCACTGAAATTGAGCATGATATCACCTTGAAGAAAGTATTTGAGAGAGCATTGATAAATGGTATAAAATTCAATTATAATAAGTTCCAATATAAATTGGAAGAAGTAACTTTTTTAGGTCAAATAATCTCTAAAAGAGGAATAGAACCTAATAGTAAAAATATTGAAGCAGTTTTAGCCATAGATACACCACAAAATAAGAAAGATTTGCTAAGAATCTTAGGATTGTTCAAATTTTTTTCGAAATTCATTCCAAATTTGTCACAATTAACGTATAATATGAGGAAATTGACTAGAAATGATATTAAATTTGATTGGACTGACGAACATGAAGGTGAACTGTTTACTTTGAAAAGTTTGATCACAAATAAACCGATATTGAGAATTTTTGATGAAAATAAAAATATCATTATTCAAACTGATGCATCAAGTAAAGGAATGGGTTGTGTTCTTCTACAAGATTCACATCCAGTTGCCTTCGCTTCTAGATCCCTGAATAAATCTGAAGAAAAATACGCTCAAATAGAAAAAGAGTTACTTAGTATTGTATTTGCTTGTGAAAAATTTCATTATTTAATTTATGGTAGAGAAGTTACTGTACAAACCGATCATAAACCTCTTATTCCGATATTTGCAAAAGACTTGGATAGAGTTAGTGCTCGTTTGCAAAGAATGCTATTAAAATTATTGAAATATAAAATTAATATCACATATATTCCTGGAAAGGAAATGTATGTAGCAGATACACTCAGTAGATCGTATATTAAAAATGAAACTGATATTGATGAAGATATGGAATATATAGTTCATTCTCTATCTTTGAATGTGCCTATGTCCGACGACAAGAAAATCATTTTTGAAAATGCTATCAACAATGATCCAACTTTATCAGAAGTGAAAAACTTTTGTATCACAAAATGGCCAGATAATATTAAGAATATGAATTCTGATATAAAATTTTATTTTACCTTGAGAAATGATATAAATTTATCTAACAATCTGCTATTTTACAACAGTAAGATAATAATTCCTGATTCATTAAAAAATGAAATGTTAAAATTAATTCATGAAGCCCATTTTGGAATTCAAAAATCCAAGATGCGTGCTCGTCAAATTATGTTTTGGAAAAAAATGTCACATGATATTCAGGAATATATTGAACATTGTGAAATTTGTCAATTAAATAGACCAAATAATAAAAAAGAAACATTAGTTCCACATGAAACACCAGATAGACCTTGGCAATATCTTTATTCAGATTTTTTAGAATATAATTCAAAATATTATTGATTGTAGATTCATATTCTCATTGGTTGGAAGTTTTTCAAGTAAAAGACAAAACCGCCAATACAGTAATAAAACATTGTAAAGAACTATTTTCTAGATTTGGTGTTCCAGATATATTCTATGCAGACAACAATCCTTATAATAGCCTTGTATTCAAAGAATTCTCTAAATTATGGAATTTTTAAGTAGAATTTTCTAGTCCGCATCACCACCAATCTAATGGACTTGCAGAAAAATACGTAGATATCACAAAAAGAATGTTATCTAAAATGAAATCATCTGATAAGTTACCAAACTATTTATTAGAGTATAGAAATACACCTTTACCAAATATTGGTTATTCACCATCTCAATTACTTTTGAATAGAATGGTCAAAGCTAAATTACCCATAGCTGTTGAAAATCTATTACCAAAAATTGTTGAAAATGAACATGTTAAAGATATTTTGAAGGAAAAATGTGAAAAGATAAAAAAACATTATGACAAGAGTTCTAGAGATTTACCAACTTTAGAAAAAAATGAAAAAATTCTCTTTCAGAAAAATAATAAATGGGAAAAAGGTTATATACTAGACAAATATAATGACCGATCTTATATCGTTAGAGATATAGATGGAAAAGAATTTAGAAGAAATAGAAAGATGATAAACAAGACCAAAATTCCATTTCCACTAACTGCAACAGAACCTTTCAATTTCATAGTATATGAAGACTTGACCACTAACTTTTCTGAAGTTTCTATTGAATGTGTCATTCGATCAGGATCACAAAATAATGATCAATCTGAAATTGAATCAGAAATTGTAGATTTGGGAGAAAATACTAGGTTGAATAGATCTGATATAGATGATGATCATAACAATATCAGTGGTCCCGAATTAGTTCATGAAAATACTGAAAATTCCGATCATGAGAGTGAAAGTTTTGTTAAGGACATGATAACTGATTATATCAATGAACTGATAAATATTGTTGTAACTCGACGAAGTTCTCGTATTTCGAAACCACCTAAATATTTGGAGGAGTATGTTGGATATTGATTTTTCAATAAAAAAAAAAAAAAAAAAAAAAAAAAAAAAAAAAAAAAAGCGTGTTGTGTAGGTCATCATTATTAAGTATTATTGACCTGCATATGTATTTATTTATATCCTTGTTTATATATCACACTGTATAGACTATAGATCTCTAGTTGATAGTTGATTATTATATGAATGTTTGGCCAGTAACATAGATACGAGATTGTTTAACAAACTGATTTAAAATGCTAATAAAGATAAAATGTTATAAAAACATTTAAAAAGTGTTTATTTATAAAATAATAACATAAAACACTATTTAGGAAAATAGTCAACTTGCCCATAGTTGTAATCCATTCAGTCCTCTATTATATTGAACAAGAAATATTTATGGAGGAAGGTTTTTCAAAATCATTATAGGTCGGTTTTGGAGGATCCTCCATCCATTTCAGAAGGCTGTGGTGGGAGAGTAACGGATTACAGAATACCTGATTTTGGACTTTTAATAAAACAGAACACATTAGTACCCATCAAGCTGAAAGGTAATGAAGATGGCGGACAACCTATACAGAAAATGAAAACGAGACTGAATAGGCTTACCCGATATTGGCCTATGACGATCAGTTCCACACTCATATTCAATTTAAAAAATGTAAGTTTTTGTGTTGGTGAAGGTACATACACACTCTTTTATATGTCTATATTCCCACTGGAAGCTGGGTCATGATTATAATTTATAAATTTAAATACTGGTTCCTTGTAGAGTCCCTGTATATACCTTAGACAAGAGATGCAATCCGGACACAAAACTGACAGCCGTTGGGGTTTTTAATATTTTGTTTCATTTGGTTTGCCCACCTGACAATGTGTCGAAACACCATAGTCGTCCCGCCCGCTTTTTTAATTATTTCGAATTTCTGTCACTGTCACTTTCAAATTGTATGAACGCCAAAATTTAGCATTCTAAATTATTTCAATGTCCTGCTGCGTACATTATTGTGATAATTCATTAGAAAAGGGATTCAAGTTATTCAATTTTCCGAATGATCCTTTGAAGATAATGTCATGGAGGAATGCAAATTAACGTCCAGAATGGAAAATTAATTTCAAGAAATCCGCAATATGTGAGGTGAATATTCAAATTTACTTGTAAAAACGGTACAAAAATGATGAATTTCTGGCCCATTTTGATAGAGATTTTTTCAAGCTGATAGATTTCGAATACAATAAAATACAATGGAATACAATAATTGTTCTGAATACTGCTGTACGTATAGGAACCTTGTCACCATCAGAGGAATCCTAGATGGTGTTGTACATATATATACTGATCTTAAGAATCTTGCAATTATGATTTCCATTATATCTACTATATAGTATATGTACCATGAGTTTAATATAAGTATAGTCATTAGGTGTATATAATAGTGTATCAGTTGGATCTTTGACATCTCATCGTTCCTAATGTAAGATAAATATATACAGTATACAGTGTGTAAAAGTCAAATGGAATAAATTAATTTTTTCGGTTCAAATATTAATAAAAAATTCCGAAACACGTCAGCTACTTTTTCGAGGGGGACATCGTTCTAAATTATTTTCAGCTCTGCGGCGTTGCCGCTTCTAACAAAAAGTAGCAGTGCTGAAAATAATTTAGGACGATGTCCCCCTCGAAAAAGTAGTTGACGTGTTTCGGGATTGTTTATAAATCTGTAGAGCAACCGAAATAATGAATTTATTCCATTTGGCTTTTACACACTGTATATATTGTTGTTTTGATTTTGTCACTTTTATTTCTGCTGAGTGTAATTAAATTGGGAGAATCGGAGAAAATTATATTGAAACAATTATACAGGGTGTTAACAAATAAGTGTCACAACGGAAAACTGTAGATTCCTCATAATAAAAGAAACATTTCGTTCCTCTTCAAAATTTTTCTCCGAGCTTCCGTTTTCAAGATACAGGGCGTAAAAAAATTAAAAACGTTCAGTTTAATTAAACACACTTTACAATACTAAATAAACTTAACAATTTGAAAACCAGCATCGAAACCAGCATACTCAAGAACCTGACATTTGATTGAACATATCATTAGACAGATCTGAGGTGTTTATTTCCAGTGGATTTTTAGACAATTTTTGGAGATATCATCAGGATTTTGTATGTTCTTATTCCTAAAGAGCCATTTTTCGCGGGAACTGTTCACTTTAGAGCATTGAGTCAAGAGGACGTTTTTTGTGTGAAAGATATTGGCGCTTCAGAATCTACTTTGAAAATTACAATTTCTCCAGTGGCATAAATGTTTGGAGGGTTAAACCCTTACGAGGCGTTGAATTCTCCTCCACCGATATGTCCAAGGAAATTGATCAAGAGCCTTAAAAGTAGTCATTATTGATGATGAAGTGTGTACAAAGGCTCAACTCCGTGGCTCCGACGGTTCCTGAGATAGTAGCCAAAAACATATGTTTTTGAATATTTTTGACGCCCTGTATCTTGATAACGGAAGCCCGGAGAAAAATTTCGATAGGGAAAAAAATGTTTCTTTTTTCATGAGCAATCTACAGTTTCCCGTTGTGACACTTATTTGTTAACACCCTGTATATCTTCTATTTTTCTATATCCCAACAGAAAACAAATATATTTTCTTGGCTATAGAACACTTAAATTATCTTTCTTGTATCTGATAAAGTGAAGAAATATCTGATGACGAAAATTTGCAATAGTCATCTCAGGAATTGATTATGAAAATTATCGATTCGAAATTTGAACACCCTGTTGTTCATTATCCGAAAATCTAATAGTTATTCTAGTTAAAATAGCCCTATTTCTCACTTCTACCTACGGCTATGAACGGTTTGACAAATAATCTAACCCTCAAAATTGTTTCTGACAATCATTGATACTAGGGGAATTGAAAAGACAGAGCTCGATATATATATGTGTTATTCCTTTATTCAATTATCAATGCATTTTTTGAAAACAGAAAAGGACAGAAGTATAGCTGTGCCCGGGTTCTTGTCTAAGGTATATACAGGGACTCTAGTTCCTTGCACCGAAATGTCCTTAAAATAAAATTACTTGTACCCGTCTGCCTATGCACCGACGAAACGTGCCTTTGTATACACTCACGGCTAAAGAAAAACGGACACCCTTAAAAATTCTTCATTTCAACTGGAGGTTGAAAAACGAATTGAAACAATCAATAACTCAAATAAATCCAATTCGATAACAGTAACAGAAAAAATGTTTAGGAGTAAAATATCTCAAGGAGGCCGGGTTTTTTTGCCGGTGAGTTTATATATATATTTTCTACGGCTATAACACAAAATTGCTCTTGTTAGATAAATCAATGAAGTACTTTATATATTGTCAATTTTATTTCCGTATCTGATATCACAATGACTTCATTGTGTTATTATTTCACAAACAGAATGACAATCATTCCATGCTCGTTATAAGATATACCTACTATTTTGTTATTGCATGTTCTTGAAATGATATGAATCTGCCTTATTTGAAACGATTATTCTTGACATTGAGTACCTATATTCTTAGTTTCACTGTACCTACCACTTGTAGTTATCTCAAATTTCACTTTTCACTAACTTTGTGAATTTCTCAAATGGAAATAAGAGGAAAAATCAGTGTTAGTGAAATTAAAAATTTAGAATCACAAGGTGGATCAGATTTTATTATTTCTTTGCATGATGTATTGACCTCACTTTCGAATCGCATGATATCAATTGTTTATATCATCTGCTAAATCATTGATTTTGGAGTTTCCCTAGTGCAGGGGTGCACAGATTTCATTGGATTGTGATCTAACCACAAATAGTTTTGGTGACAAGCGATCGCCACATACGCCTACCGGCGATTAGGAGTAGTCTGTTCATAATATAAAATGAAACATTTCTATAAACGAAGCATTATTATTCATGAAAAGGACTTATTATAAATACCTATCATATATAAATACAAAGTACATAATGATAACGTCAGCTTTTATGCTGTTTTGTTATTGGTCAGATAATCTTCCATTTCCACTCATGAAGCAAAGTTGTCAAGGCCTCAATTATAATCAAGTTATAAAAAAGGTGTTACAGTCCTGTCGTTGAATAGAACATAATAGGTGGAACTCATAATGTTATAGTTCCTTCTTGATTTTTTCGAGCAACCACCATGTCCAAATATTTCTTATTCTCCATAACAACATATAATATGAATGTTGGAGACTTGGCAACATTGTGCTGAATGCTGCGAACTGACAAGACCACGCCCACAAGTCGTGCGTCTTGGTTGTCACGTTCACCTATACAAAGAAAATATCTCCAATTATTGGTGCATTGAGAAGATGTCCCAAACTTGATATTAAAATTGCAAACATGATTCTCTACTCTCATATACTGAGTCGTATCAACTATTTAATAAATGTTTGGGGATCTTGTTCAAAAAATAATTTCAATAAAATATCAACATTATATAGAAAATCGTTAAAAGTATTGTATCGTCTCCCATTTGATACACCAACCAATCAATTGTATGAAATAACAAATACGTATTCTTTAGATGAAATATATAGAATTGAAACTCTCAAAATATCATATAATATCATAAATAAAAAATTGAAGTCGAATATTATTTTGATACGGAATTCTGAAATTCATAATCATGAAACTAGACAATATAACTTGTTCCATCTTGACGCCGCTAGCTCCCTAATCGGACAAAAAAGATTCACTCATTCAGCCTTAACTGAATTCAATAAACTACCTGATAATATAAAAAATTGCAGAAATATAGGTATATTCAAAAATGAAGTAAAAAAACTGATTATTTCTCAGCGGACTGGATAAAATTAATAATGCCATTTTTTTTCAATTACAAATATTATTCTTTGTTTGCCAATTTACAGTTGTTGATATATTTTGAATGATGCTATGTTTACCTATAGGTATATAATTATGTACTTCCTTATACCAGAGCCTATTCTGTCTGGAAGTTATTTGTTCAATAAATAAATAAATAAATAAATAAATAAATAAATAAATAAATGTCCTCTATGGTGTGAATTAATATGATTATTATTTACACAAATTTATTATAAGCAATAAGCCACACATCATGAGGGAACATTTTGAGACAATTGCATTTTTATTGCTAATTAGGAGTATTACCAATACTCAATTGGGAATTTATGAATTATCGAATAACTAATATTTCTGAAATTCCGAATCGTATTTCAACACATGGCAACTGTGCTATGGTCTGCCCCTACTCACGAAATCGTGGCCTCAGTTATTACTAGCGGTAAATTTAATTGCGTTTGAAAATTATCATGGCATTATTGATGATTTTAGCAAGAATTAAAAATAAATTAGTCCACTCGCCTATTCGCCCAAGTCGCCGTGATCATTTTGGTGGGAGTATAGACTCGCAATGACGTTATGCTCAGAAAAGGCAAATTCGAGATACCTGAGTAGCACACCATATTATATTTCCACCATGATTATATCTAATGAAGTTTTTAGTGTATCCTAATACATCGTCAGCAGTTTTTCAATCCGTTCAGTAGTTTTCATTTAAATTTTTTCGTAGTAAAAAAAATACGGAGTTCAGCTTGCCGCTCTTTCATAATGCTCTTCCAAATAACATATTTCTTTTTCCATACATGGCCATTATCTTTCAGTACTTCGATCCTCTACCGACTCTAATATCGAAGGAGAAAATAACGGACGACGAAACGTTCCAATGCAAAAAAGTCATATACAACCTGATCTCTCTCGAATCCAAGATGGAGCCGCTGCACCCGCCCAACACGGGCCAGCGAGTGAAAGGGCAGAAGCGCGAGGAGCAGTACAAGGCGATGTGGAACGAGCTGGAGACGCTCATCAAAAACAACCTGCATTCGGAGAACCATCGCGGCGTGTACGGTTGTTTGTTGGAATGCCACAAGTTCAATTTCGATGAGGACAAGCTGGGCGATAAGGTGGAGCTGGACGATGCCTTGAATCAGCTGGATAATATCGGTAAGGAAAGAGATCAAAGAAATTTGTTTGACAAGCGAATTTTGCATTTGCGAGACGTAGCGTCTAGCGAAGCCGGTCTTAGGACTGCTGGATGGAGACTGCCCTGCACTGATGAGAGTCAAAGAGCTCGAAACCGGTCTGTAGGTGTCTAGCGTAGCCTGGCTAAATCAACATCATTAGGTATTCAGGAAAAATTCACTTGTATCAGTATTCGTTTATACAAGTCGATGCATAGATTTCGGGAGGATGTAATTCAATGTTCTGCGTGGCATTAGCCGGGAAAGTAGTTGTTTTTCTCCCGAAATCTAATATTGTAGTTAAGTATCAATAGGTAGATACCGCGATTCATTCATAAATCATGAAAAACTATAGGTGCGTTTTGTTGTGCCATAACTCTATCTGGTTCTTGACATTGTACACGTTTTGTTGTGCATTCAAACCCATTTCCATTCTCATTCCTTCTCATGAGAAGGGTTGAAAATTGGAATGACAAATAAAAGTGACTTGTGATTATTATTGTGACATGAGAATTGACAGTTAAAAGAAAAAATTGTCAGCATTTATGGCATACAAGCTAACAATGATGAATAAATATTGAAGAGAACCACAGAAAAACGGGAATTCCTCCATCTAAGACATATATGTCTTCCAAAATTCATTCATTCATCATTATTCTCAAACGTTGGTTGAGAATCATGGATATTAAATTAGTCAATATCGATTTTTGATTCATTGGAGTGAAAGCAGAATGATGGGAATGGTAAAATTGTCACATACCAGAGACAAATACGAGGAAAAATACAGGGTGATTCACATAAGAACCGACATAGATCAGGGGCATGTAGAGAGTCCCAAAATATGTCAATTTAACGCAACTTAACTCTATACCAAGTTGCTTCCCTAAGGAGTTATAGTCTTTGAAAGTGGAGTTATAAATTTTGAAAAAAATCAATATCTCTGTTATTCTTGAACTTACAGCAACCAAATTTGGTACACTTTGTGGTGGTATTTAGGGCGTTACTTGACAGTAACTAGAGTTCGTTTGAAATTTGTTAAGGGGAGATACCAGGTGGCGCACCATTAATATTCAACAGAATTTTGTTAACCCTTGATGGATTTCAAAAATCTTTGCTTTGTTTTGTGGGCAATTCAATTCTAAAACTTTTCTTAGTCAAGTAATTTCTCGAGAAACCTCATCATTTTCATCAAAAACTCGAATAACTGAAAACGCGTGCTCTAGGTGTGTTATTTAAAATCATCGAAAATTCAAAAGTTGGCTATGAAAATAAACGTCAAACTTGATAATGACGCAAGTAAGTTGTTCAATTAAGTAATTTATCGATAAACAATTGTTTGTTCTGGTTGTTGTTTAAGTTTTTGGTGTTTATTTTGGTTAGTTGTTAATCCCAGTTTTTCACATTTCAGTATCTGTACTTTACGTATTTTGTTACGTATCTGAATAATAATTTGCCAGCCAATTTCTACTGATCACAATTAATGACCTACTTTCTTGTTGTACGTATATTTTCATAGCCAACTTTTGAATTTTCGATGATTTTGAATAACACACCTAGAGCGCGCGTTTTCAGTTATTCGAGTTTTTGATGAAAATTATGAGGTTTTTAGAAAAATTACTGGAGTAAGAAAAGTTTTTGAATTGAATTGCCCACACAACAAACCAAAGATTTTTGAAATCCATCAAGGGTTAACAAAATTCTGTTGAATATTAATGGTGCGCCACCCGGTATACCCCCTTTACAAATTTCAATAAAGCTCTTGTTACTGTCAAGTAACGCCCTAAATACATCCACAAAGTGTACCAAATTTGGTTGCTTTAAGTTCAAGAATAACGGAGATATTGATTTTTTTCAAAATTTATAACTTCACTTTCGAAGCCTATAACTCCTTAGGGAAGCAACTTGGCATAGAGGTAAGTTGCGTTAAATTGCCATATTTTGGGACCTCCTACATGCCCCTGCTCTATGTCGGTTCTTATGTGAATCACCCTGTATATTATGATCAGATTTTGAGATTGAAAATATCAAATGTTTCTACAGTTCCAAATGTTCGCGTTGTCTGGCGCCGATCATGCGCCGATCCGTTTTCTTGGGCCCACTCATTCTATCACTTCCGGAATGGCACAACAAAACGCACCTAATGTGCCAACAATTCAAAACGCCAAAGAGGAGTAAATGAATGAAAAGGCGAATTGAAAACCTTGGGACCAGAAGGGGATGAGCCACAATTTTGTCAAAAATTAGTCAACCAAACTAAAGCACTCTGTATTCCATCTTTAATATCATATTAGCCAATGCTAGCTCCCAGATCACAGATCATAAGATCCCGTTTTGGCAACTTCATTATATTTTGCATCAAAAGGGGACAAGCCACTGTTAAAATCAACATGGCGTCAGAGAATCCACGTGATTGAGATAGAAAATTAGACTTTTTCTTCCAGTTTTGTGATGAAGATAGTGAACCAGATCGTATTTTGACGTCATTACATACAGGTCGGTGGCATATCCCCTTTTTATGCAAATCATCATACCCCGTTCAATTATTGGAATATATTGTTAGCAACGGTGTTCAAATCACCCCGTAAATAAGAAGAACGCCTAAGGAATGCCTTATCTCAAGCGGCCTCGACGACTCATCGGTATTCGTAATCATCGTGTGATAAAAGACTGAAGCAGGTTCAGTTGATTAATATCGTAGAACGAATCAATTGTCGATGTTGTATTTTTATAAACGGTCATCTTTGTACAAGCCGTCCTGAGTGAATAAAAATGTGTTTATGTGTTGAAATTGTGTCTATCTACGATGCCTCCTTTTAGAATCTTTCAATATAATGAAGGATAAAGCTACATTTTTTTTTCAAAAATATTTGTTAACTCAAACATATTTCAATTGAAACGTGTGCAACCATAATTCTATGTCTGATTACATATTCGCCACCAAATACTTACCTCAGTTTCGAAAAATACAAGTTGAATGGATTTCACGATTCGAAAATACGGAAAAACATGCGATTTCTCCGAATCTACATTTTGTGGTTTGTCTCCATCTGGTCCCATGGTCTTCAATTGTGGGGATGACTTTGACTAGAAGGGCGCTGTCCCAATTGTCTATGTACCTTCTCATTTCAGAGAAATCTCCTGAAACAGGTCGGTTTTCATTCCCAATTTTTTACATTTATAAGTGAAAATTGAATATACAGTTTGAGTTCTGAGATCCGCGACAATTTTTTCAAATAGAACAACCTTTATTTTATTCGTTTTTTGGAATTTCCATGTACAGCTGAATTCCAAAATATTTTACACAAAGGGTTTCTATACAGTGGGCCCGTTGAATTAAGTGCTCCAGCTCCCGTGCACTATAGTGAATTCATTCATTTATAGCCAAACTATCCATTTCTGGAACTTAATGGAACACAATGTTTTCCATGTTCCTATCCTTACCTTTTGAAAGCTTCCAACCTTTTTTGTAATGTAAACTAAAACGGAAGGGGGGAGCGATGGACTTCTGGTCCTCACTGTATAATGTAGGATTGATAGAATGGTGTCCCCAAGATGAGATTTCATCAATCAATCAATCAATTTATTAATCCTTTGGAACTTACAAGAGTTATAGGACAAGTCAACAAAGCAGCACACACAATAAGTATTATACAAATAATAGTGATAAAGATAATAATACAATCCTAATTAACAGTAATAATGATATTGACAAATAAATCAAATGGACAATGACATGTATAGGCAGACATATAAATCCAAGCGTGCGTTCGAATACATACTCTGTGGAGTAGAGTTTACTCATTTGCGTTCGAAATTTGTTAGGTTGTGTATAGTCTACTCTGTGGCTGTCGTTCGAAAAGACTATAATTTTTCACGTCAAATAACTTTTGTAACTCCACAAAATATTGGTAGGTAAATTTTACTCTACTGATTTGACACAGATATTACAGGGCGAACGAGGATGAATAAGTTTGAACCGCAGTTTATGATTGTTTTTATACCCTCAAAGAATTCAAACTTGGTAGGTACTTTTCTCAACATCATTGAAGATACAGATGTCACTGAAATGAGTAGCATTACCCAACACATGATTTCAACATTAATACGTGGTATTCAACATTATTCATTTGCAGCTGGAATATACGATTTACTCCTATTGATCTGACTGAACTAAACTTGCAACTTGACAAACATAACATGTCAATCTCAGGTGTCAATAGACTAACTCAAAATTTCGTTCGGATACTACATGAAATAGTAATTAAGTCAGAGTAAACTGATAAAACCTTCAAATTTTAGAACAAATAACACGTTGGGGAGGTTTATCAAGAATAATAAAGACAAAACTTCTAAATCCAGGGGTATACAAACTCAACTGTGGATCTTGTCCTAAGGTATATATCGGTCAGACAGGTCGTACGTTTAATCAGCGCATTCATGAACATAAGATGAATTTTACGAAAAATAAAACAAATTCAACATACGCCAACCATATATTGAAAGAAAACCATAGTTTTGATGATAATTTCGAAATTCTGCACGTAGAAAATAAAGGACTGAAACTCAATCATTTTGAATCATTAGAAATCAACAAAATTTTGACATTTTACTTAATGATCAATTAGACCTCAATACTTCACCACTGTTGAATTTGTTTTCTTAGTAAGTAATAATATTTATTTGATATCAACCCTTTCAAGTTAATCCGGTACACCGTATTTTAATGTAGATATTGTGCCTGATTTCCGAAAATGGAGATTTATCGAACCTGTCCACAGGTAACTAATCCTTCAGGTTGGGAAAGTAGGATATATAAGCAAGCCAAGGTTAGTTTAGTTCATCGTACCAGTATATCACCTGACGAAGCAACTGTGTTAGCGAAACATGTCGTGTGTTTGAGAATTTTGTGGAAATCTTATCGTTTGTGAAGTGTTTACATTCGATAAAACCTTCAACTAACCTTACTCTCTGAGAGTCAATAATCGAACGCACTTCAGAGATCTCCCCCTCAATTTTAACGATGAAATCATGTGTAGTCACAACACGACATGTTTCAAAGGTCCCGGAAAAAACGACCAAGACGTCCCGCGGGCGTCCGTCATCCGAGCCACTACGGACTCCCCGATGTCCCCGCCGCCATTGGCCAGCATAGCTCCGCCCCTTTCGCGCGCAGGCTTGAACCGAAGCGGCGGCATCTACCATGCGCAGCGCACCCTGCTGGAGATATTCGCGTCGCACGAGAAGGGCAAGTCGAGGCCGGAGTTCGCCGGCCGACAGGGGGACAGTTTGGTGTGGAAATTGTATCCTAACCTCAAGACTAACGATCACGGGCCTAGAGAGGGAATGGAGGTGGAATGACGGTCGGTTTTGGAAAATTGGAGGTCCTGGCAAGTACATATCAGTTTTGTTTCTAAAAATGACAGATGTTTGTGACTTTTTCGTCCGGTATATGACTATCTGGTGTGGAAACTATATAAAGAGATGGCAGAGAAGTGGAATGAGGGCTTAGGTTTTTCAATCTTCTAGCTAACGAGAGAAGTCGAGTTCGGCAATTCCATCCGAGATGCGAGGGATTTATTTGTCATGTGACCACGGATTACAAAGATTAATTGGAATAAACGAACGGTGCAGAGCGCTATCATGACAGATCTATCTAAAGTATTTTAATCCTTGTTGACACACATATTACTCAACGGATTTATGTAGTTAGATTTGTTGTTTAACGTTGATTTTCTCAAGAAATTCACAAAAAGTGAATTATAAAATAATACAACGCACTTAAAATTTGAACAATTCAACACTTAACCTCACAAATTCAGATTGATCGATTTGCTCTGTCAAGATTCTCGGAGCATGAAGATTCGTCGTCGGATCGCTCCTATTTCAATTGCTGAACGAATGAGATTTACTTCCCCTACATCTAGATGTCATAAACGAACGACACAGATTGATCGGAGCAGTCTGATGTCAATACCGAACTCAACTAGTGTAGGACCATTTGACAGTGTTGCCAAATCAGATGATTTGCCCCAAAATGTCACTGTGTTTCAAGAATTTTCCTATCAGAGAGCCTAAAAGAAAAATTCACCAGCTTGTCAGTGACAATTTGTATAAAAAAAGCATCAGCTATTACTCCAATATTTTCAAATCGAAATATTCCGAAAACGGAACATAGTATCGAGTTTCACCAAGAATACCTTTTTGGTGTAAAATTGAATGATGTTCGAGTTCATATCATATTTGGATCGAAAGATATAACCTCAAAAAAGTTATGTTCTAAACTACTCGGTGCGAACTCTGTAACTACCCCCCTCTATGAGAGTCACATATAAAAACAAATGCATGTGATGTGTCAGATTTCAAGAAATATTCATACAAAATTTCATTACAATGTTGCCGGTAGTTTCGACATAATCGTGAAAAATGTGTGAAAAAATAAATTTTTCAACACCTTTTATCGTGAAAACGAATGCCGTTACGACATTTTTTCATTGAGCAAACCCAACTTATTTTGCAGTGTTCTACCTACCCTTGCAAGGGGGTTAGGTTTTTTTGAAACACTCTGTATACTGATTTTTGGCTATGGTTATTGGGCCAAAAATGTAGCCAAGAAGATACCCAACAGTTTGACCAGAAGAAATACGAGATTGATCTATAGTCGAATAAATGAAGGAGGAAAAAAAGGCAAAGTTAACGTTAATTACGCACTAATTTCATCTTCCGGTTGGAAGTAGCTTTTGGTACCTCATTAAACATGAGACAAAGTTTGACTGGAAAACTCGTGCGATGGCAGAGAAAATGGCCCCAAAAGACCAGGAAAATAGGTTTTCAGCCAATATCTCCTAAAATATGGCAGTTAGAGATTTTCGGTTCAGATAAAAATGGAAGTTCAGTTAATTTTCTACAAAAATGGTCCCTATCATTTTTCTCGAAAATTTGTCCGGTTTCGAGAAAAACGGCACGAAGCGCACCTCGAATAATGAGCTTCTGTGTTGTAAGCCTGAGAGCACAGTCCCTGTATTTACACATCGGCGGGGAAACAAATTATTCAATAACTTTGTTAAAAATGCATATTTTCTCATGATTCAAAGTTCATGTGAAAGAGGAATTCTGCTGCTATCATACCTTGCGTGGCCGCATGGTTTGTAGCAGACGACCCGAGCGCCACGTAGAGCACACACGCGGCGAACCACGGAGGATCTAGCGTGTACATTTAGATATACTGGTTTTTTCCCGGGATATCAAAGGTATGACTTATAGACATCGATGGAAAGGTGGGAATTCCCCCGTTACACTAGTTAAGGTGTTAAAATGTTAGAAATAAATAGCACGGAGGAAAAAAAAAACACCGAAAAAAAAGTGCGTTTTTTCCTCGACCCCGCTTTTTCTAATTTTATTGAAAAATGGACGACTTCGTCTAACAAAGTAATTGCACAATCGAAAAGAAGACCTTCTTAGCTTTCAAATGATGTATCATAGAAACCAATCGGATCATGTATAAATTTTTAATTGATGGTTGTTCACAAAATTTCCCCGCGCTCCAAAAACAGCAAAAAATTGGGATTCAATAAACAAAGATTAAATGGAAATTAAAAAAATTTAGGGTATACAAATTTTCAGGGATGACGAAGGACGAAGGAATGATCAAGAGAATTTTGAGTAAATCAGTGCAATACAAAAAAAATAGGAACAAATTCCTGGCGAGGTCAAAATTGACCGGGAGCAGAAAGTTTGACCTATGTTCCGATATGGCCAAAAGAGTCAAGCGTGACTCAATTCACAGGGTATGATAGCAGCAGAATTCCTCTTTCACTTGAACTTTGAATCATGAGAAAATATGCATTTTCAACAAAGTTATTGAATAATTTGTCCCCCCGCCGATGTGTAAATACACGGACTGTGCTCTCCGGCATACAACACAAGCTCATTATTCGAGGTGCGCTTCGTGCCATTTTTTCTCGAAACCGGGCAAATTTTCGAGAAAAATTATGAGGACCATTTTTGTAGAAAATTAACTGAACTTCAATTTTTATCTGAACCGAAAATCTCTAACTGCCATATTTTAGGAGATATTGGCTGAAAACATATGTTTCTGGTCTTTTGGGGCCATTTTCTCCGCCATCGCACGCGTTTTCCAGTCAAACTTTGTCTCAAGTTTAATGAGGTACCAAAAGCTACTTCCAACCTGAAGATGAAAATAGTGCGTAATTAATGTTAACTTTTTTCCTTTATTTATTGGACTACAACCAGTCCCTGAGATAATTGCATTCAAATATTCAATACCCTACAGTTTGACCAGAAGAAATACGATATTGATCAACCCAGTCCCTGAGATAATTGCATTCGTCCGCCATTTTGAACGGCCACCATATTTGAAAGCTACCTTTTCATGATGCATCCCCCCCCCCCCCCCGACTTCTTTGCTCCTACTCATGAACCCAGCAATAATTGGTATGAGTTTCATTCAGTCCATTGTTTGATCTGGAAACATCCTAATCTCAGGACTCACGAAAAATGTTTTGTTGAAGGTTAAATCAATGATGATTTTTTTTTGAATTAACTACATTTGTAGTTGAATATGTTGGATAAGATAAATCTAGAAATAAAAATATAGACCAGCTAATAATATTCCCGCTAATGATGGATTATATTTTCATTCATTGAGGTATGAAGGAAAGTTATGAATTATAATTAGAAAACATATTGATACTTTACCTACATTTATAGTTGAAAATGTTGGATAAGATAAATGTAGAAAATGAAGACGAGCTCATAATATTTCCCGCTAATGATTGAGTATATTTCTTTTTATTGAGGAATATGAAGGACAGTGATGAATTATATTTATAAAACATATTGATACTCTTTGTTCACAGATTTTCATAATGTGAAGATTTAGTTATTGTAATATAAATTTGTGATTTGTTGTACATATTTTCGGATTTATAAGAATTAGGAACAACGTACTCAAGTATTTGTATATAGATTTAAATAAAAAAAATGTGGTTGCCGTGAAGTATTTATATTTATGAAAATATCCTACAAAACCTGAAAACTCATCTACAAATGATATTTTTTTACATTAAATAAAGGCAGGTCGTGAGTATCTTCCAGTATGGTCAAAAAGCGTGAAGAGAGGAGGCGTAAAAATAAAAAAATATACCCAATCGATACCACAAAGATATTCAAGATCTGCCTTCAAAAGTAACACCTTGCTAAATATATACACACGTTAGTAAATTCACACCTTGTAACCCTTTGTATGGTTGACTGCAACATCAAGAGTGAAGGATATGTTGACAACCAGCTCTTTCGAAATGGCTTTTGGGGCCCAGGTGGCTTTACAAACGCATTCATAATAATTGAAATTAACAGCTATTTGTTTGTAAAAGTGTATACGTCTACATTATCTGATAAAAGGCATTCTGTTATTTGTTGTCTCTATATATATTTATATATAAATATTATTTGTTGAAATGGAGCTTTGCCCCAGCAAACATGATTGAGCGGTAAATAGGCGGCCGATTGCTGGTAACTGCGGTTAGTTGTCGGCAGCGGCACACCTATGTCGTTAAAATGTTGAAACGACATCGGTTTTGCCGCCATGGCTGAACGTACGCATGTTTATAATGGATGTTTGTTATTCAGCCAGAAATTGCCCGTTTAAAATTCCCGACAATCGTGCCGATGTCGCTTTGACGCAGTATGTATGTTGTTTACAGGTCAGTGGTAACTGAACCAAACGCAATGTTGGCATCACTGGGTTTTTGAGCATTGGTAGTACTGCTAATTTATTTTCGTGTTTTAGTTCTGTGTCCGTAGATCGCTTCAGTTGTCTGTCACTTGTCTTCAGGTATTTGTTAAACGGCGTGATAATATTAATATTATTTAGAAAAAGTTGGTGAGTTTTATGATTGATCCCAGCAAACTATCGTCCGACATCAAGAATAATGATATATGTTATATAACAATAATTAAACTCGTTATATATTGTCTACCAATCCATTTTTGTGGTAATGATTTTGAGCTAAATATTTGTTCATTACCCTATATTATAACAATGATGCTCCAATGCGAAGTTCAGCTCTTTACCTATATTCGAAAAATATTTGATTCACAGTAATAGATCAAACACTGGAAAAGTAATGTGGCTAGAACATTATCAGACTATACCTATTCTACGTCGTCGAATCAACAAGTTATGATAGGTATATCGTATATGATCAAATATCAAATATAATTGAAGTATTGTACTATTTCAATTCTGTTGACTGATGGATTCGTAATAGTATCTTTCAAGTTTCGCAGTAGCCTAGTGGTATAAGCGTCTGACAGTTGATTGGATATCCGTTCGATCGCAAGTTCGAGTCCGACTCCCGACTATATCTTTTTTTTATTTCTAACCGAATAGTGTCGGTAGATAGTCGGGCGGCCTACTAGCGGCCGGTGCGACACGGGCTAGCCGGGCCGACGATGTATCATGATTGTGGCCCGCTGATGTTGACTGTCGGCAGTTTTTGGAGGGCGTCTAAAGGCCCGCGCGATACATGTTTGCTGGGGCTATTTCAGTCGAAATTACAAAATCGTTAAATATTTTTGTACTCGTTAACTTTTTATACGATTTTATAAAACCGAAACTAATGAACACTCACATTCGAAGTTGCAACAGAAAAACTGAAAGAAAAGTGTACTATGAAATAAGAATATATCATATTATTTACAATATTACAAGTTACTTCAAATGCAAGAATCCATGTTTTTTAAATTCTTTACAAAAAAAAGACAAACTAAAAACTGGAATGTATTACAGTTTAATACATAAAAGAATGCCTAAACTAAAGGAATACATAAAAACAATGAAATAAATTACTTAAACTACCCTAGTAATGGTAATATGTTAAGATGATGAAGATTGGTATAAAAAGTTTCATGACTAATAGATGATTTAAAAAAAAAACAAACATTTCGTGAACAAAGAATTTGACAGCACTTTATACAATCAGCGGAAACACAATGGGAATCAACTATTTCTTAAATTAGGCATTCATTCACATGTTGAAATAGAAAATATTTTAACAATAGAATTCTTGTATTATGTAGAATAGATGCCATTCAATTAATTGAATCATAATTCAGACAAATTTCAACTTGGACATCGATAGTTCATAGTATTTGAATTTGAGGACGTAGTCGAAGATATAATGTTTGAAATTGATTTTCTAAATATTTTTTGTTCGATATGCCGCAAAACTAGCGATTATGAAAGTAGCGAGATGTTACTGCCCACGCTGCACAAAAGGAAGTAGATTTTAAAAGAATCCCATTATGCATAGAAATGTATCATACAAAAAAATTACTTCCAACGCTATGCCAACCCAGCCTATAATACTGTGACAAAGTTAATTCAACGAGAAAAATAATAATGTTGCCTTACAAATATTTGTATGAATTTTGCATTGAAATGGAACACATTAGAATTATCAGAAACAAAAGCACTTCCTTCTGATAATGAGCTAAAAAATGTCATCTTCCGACTGTTGACGTTGACATTCTCTCATTTTTGTCGAACGACTTTCAACAGAAATGTCCTAGCTAGGCAACCAGAAACAGTTAAACATCAATAGAAACATGGCAGCCACATACACCAATTCAATTTTTTTTTTGGGTTTCTACACATTGAATGCCACCTATTCACAATGATATTCATTTTACTGGAAAAGTGATTTTATGAAATACAATATGGAATCGTTTTCAACACTCACTGAATTTGTTTATACACCATGATGCTCAACTCCTGAGAATGACGAAATACACAGTTGTGACATTTTCCTACAAGAATTGATGTATACCAGATAAATTGATTAGTATTTTTCGATTGAATTTATATATCAGCACCTCTTAGACAAATCGGATAACTCAGAGAATATGCATCAACTGATGGACCTTCAGGAGTCTAATGAATTGAATATGCATAGAGTCAAGAGTATTCAATAAAGAGGAAAACAAAGTAACGGAGCCGAGCGTTTTTTATTGCTTGTTTTATCACCCCAGGATGTTTATTTTGCATGGCTCAATTCTTACAATGCAATGTCAGCACCTAGAAGGCAACGCTGTGACGTCAGTTGGGGTTTATGCATTTGTTAAGTGGTCTGTGGAAATTCTATAATCACATCGTATATCATTAGCCATACGGGCTCTCTCTTTACTAGATACCCTTGAATCACTATGTATATTCACTTGAATAGATGGTTTTGCTATGAGAAGATTCCTCTGAACTCTGAAAAAGACTGCATCTTCATACCTACCCTACCTAATATTAATGTAACAATTTTTAATTTGTTCAAATTCGATAATTGATACAATCAAAGTCCTCATTTAAAGACAGCAAAAAATCATCAGAAAAAGACCAAGAGTCTTGCTATTCAAATCTCAGGTTGCAAGTTCTAACTTTGTAATAAATATTTAAATTTAAAAAAACTCCAAATATTAGGATTCAATAACAAAAAATTAACTGCAGTATGACATAAAATTTCGCTGATAAGCGCTTGATTTATTTTGATCATATTACCAAGTGTTGAAGTATGAATCCATATGACTTGATACAAAATTGTATTGAACGACAAATCTATTCACACTTAAAGATACCAGAAAAGTAATCACAGGCCTGATTTCACATCAGCATTTCATTAAGTACATCTTCAGCTAAAAAAAGCTCATTACAGGTTGCCAGTCCTTCAATAATGTCATTACTTTTGGTAGGTTTGAGCTTTGTGTATTTGGTATTCCTAGTTGATTATTAACAAATATTTATCTCAGAATAAAATGGATAAATGAAGCTGAAACTGCTGAAAGTTTTTAGTGAATGCGTATTCAATAAAAAATTGATGAGCAGAAAATAAATCACGCACCTTCAGGATACAATTTGTTGTTAAAAACCACTTTTGAAATATGTCAAATGCGATATGACAATTCACTACAACAATCTATAGTCTTTGATTAATCCTCTGTAACGGAAGTAGATAAATTATCATGTTACATTGGTGCTTTATTTGGGAACTGTATGTAATAATGATAATATTGATATTTAAGCAACGGTATAAATATAGACTAGCCAAAATATCTGACATTTTGTGTTGAAAACACTAGAAAGAAATCTCATAAACTATCAACAAATTCGAAGAATTTAAGTACCAATTTCGGCGTAGATCTTGAGGGAGAAAAAAAGATTGGTGTATTATTTCTTTGAAGATCAATCTAACAAATGACTTGAGAATATTTTAGTTGAAAAAATGTCCCCTTCCCCCGTCTTTCATGAAATCCTTCATTCACTCGCTGAGGAAGCGGTAAAGACTAGGCAGTAATCAAAAAAGTATTGTAAATATAATTGTTTCATCCAAAACTTCATCTATTTATCTGAAAAGGAAACCGAACGTTTCAAATGAGTACTGGAAGTTCAAAGTTTGAATCACACTGAAACGAATCTAGTTTCCGTAACAAGTTTCGTTTGGTAATTTTTATAAATTCCATTTGCAAAAAATGGCAACACAGTGAGCGGATTGCAAAATTTCACATCTATGACTTCCATATAACCGATCCCTGTACTGTTCAACGTAATTTGGTCTAGCAATGAACTATTTTTTATTTGCTTCCTCTTCAACATATCAAGTGGAAAGTAACTGAAATATTTGTTGTGGACCACAATCATTATCAATCGTTTCAACACAATTTCAGGAATTCACAAAACACCAAATCCAATCCATATGTTCACAAATATGCACAGCTATATCCTTTTCCATTTTTCATTGATAAACATATGGGCAATTGAAAACAGTGCTAAAAATATACAGGGTTTAGCAAGTGTGGGAACGGTTACAACGACCAAGGCAAACCATATGGCGAAGGATCACGTGATTGTGACGTTGTTTTATGATGTGACAATCATGACTTCAATTATACGTCCAAAGATCATCAAAGATCCATGTGACGTACCAATTTGGTGGTGTCCTTCTTTCAAATTGTCAAAAATGTGTTATTTGGTTGTTGGAGTGACAAGGAGTATATGAATATACTTTTCTAAACAAACTAGACGCCAACATTAATATTGCATTGTTGTCAAACTCTTTCATTTCGGCCAGCTTCCATCTCGCCGATACTCACTACAAGGTTTTAGATACAAATACGTAGCTGATCTTAGTCTGACGGAGATGCGTACTAACGATAGCGTGGCTGAATGGACAACATAATGGGCATGACACACGAGCGGCTGAGGGACCATCAATCATGTCACAACAATGCCTAGATGACCATGTCAAGAAATATTTCTTCACGAATTATGCGTCATTTTAACCTCATGTCGACGTCTCCATGGTAACTAGGATGGGAGTGACTGACGTAAACAAATTTGAAAAATATGACGTTATTGGGGTGTGACCTATTCACGTCATATGACGTCAGTACCTTGGTCTTCTACTGACATGAAATGTAATCTGGTTGCCTTTGGGCATATGGATTCTCGCCCATATTCTTGGAATTTATACGTAGTCTTGGCTGTATTCAACAATTTTGAAAAAAAATCTTGGAATTCCTATATTTTTCTCATTATTTTCAAGTAAAGATGATAGCAGTAAATATAATCAGGGCATAAAGCTTCAATCAGTAAGAAGATTCGTAGATTTTCGTTCACACACTTGCGTGAAGCACTCAAAGTTCAAGGTTATGATACGGAATCAACTCAATTCTAGAAGGCATATTGGCATATGTTGCAAATTTCGGAGTATAATCTGTAATTAATATAAAATTGAGCTGTTAGAGGTGTTCAGTGAGTTTCAAAGTTTTTCCAGTTGGGTATTGCTTATAATGTGACATACTATAGGCCGATATCGAATGCCACAAACAGTGTTACCATCCTCTAGCTCAAATTGAATAATTTTCTGCGAGAATTGAACATTAACTTGTTTCAAAAGCGATTTCATATGCATATTTTCTGTTTATCGGCGCTGCTGGTAATAGTTAAGACATCGCTCTTTCAAGACTCGACATTCACAAAAATCGAAATAAAAACGGTTAAACAATGCAGTTACAATGTATGTGTGTGTGTGTGTAAATCCTAATCTTACAAATAAAGTAAAAAAGAATAATATTTAAAGGTAGTTACGCATTTGTCACTTGTCGCCCGAGTCTTCTCGTAACTTTTTGCTAGAAGGCTGGACGGAATCCTCTTCGAGCGGCCGCTTGGTGAAGTCGCCGAGACTGCAATTCAAATCGATTATATACAGGGTGTTTCATTGGGAAAGGTAAATAATTCAACTGTGGATAAGGGTCACTGGGGTAATTTCAAAAAACCCATGGTTAATGGGTCTTCGGCATCTTATAACCGAGATACGAGATGTTAAATCAATTTTGCACATATCTTCATTGTCTCATAACTTCCCAACCAACCTGTATATATTTTTTTAAATTGGCACACTTACTCAATCTATCCTGTGGAATTGATTGAGGCATCAACAAAAGATAGAATCCAGGTCCGGTTTCAAATTTATTCTGCCCAAAGCAACACCCTATACATTTGAATTTCTCAATTTTTTGGCCATATCTGAGAAGAGAATCAAGATGTGGATTCAACGATGTACTTTTTATTCATGCATAGACGATTTTCACTACTCATATTATTTGCTCAAAATAATATTTTTGCTCATTTTGAGGTATAAAGTGAAATCAGGCAGAGATTCATTAATTTTATTACTTCCTATTCAGTCCACGTGAGTATTACGGTTGGGAGGAGTGTTTCATATCGTTATTTCTATCCATCCAGACTATTAGAAAATATAATTGTAGGTTCGTCATCAAAACTATACAGGGCTTTTCACGATGAGCGTTTATTAGACGTTTGCGGCAAACCAGGCAACAGATAAATCTGAAAATTCGATGGTATGTATAAATTAACATAATGCAGACGTCTTGAATATTTGAAACGATGCACTATTATTCAATAATGAGACAAACAAAATATATAACGTCTAAAAGATGACGGCGGAAAGAATGTGAGCCCAGACCACAATATAAATGTTGTGATCATCAACTCATTATCCTCTCGATTGCGTCCACGGACTTCTTTGGCGCGTCGAACTTTATTAATGTAATCTTCCCTGAACATGTAGAGGAAGAAAGATATGAATCTTTATCTAAGAGAAAAACACATTGAGGGACTCTAAACTATAAACTGTTCAACATTCAAAAAGTTGAATAGAAAATGTTGGATCAAATTTGAATCATTATAATTTCTGATTTCCACAACAGTTCCAATTTCTCTCAAGTTTCTGAATGTTTGTTACATTGGTTATCAAACTGATCTAAGTTAGTGCCTAGTGGCAGCGTCAATATTTTCGGGAATATTTCAGTTTTGTCAGAAGATAATATCTGGACCGCTCTGCAAGGAACTTAGATCAGTTTGAATCGCGGCACGTTCGCGATGGGGACATTATCTCCTTTCATTTGCTTTTAATTTCTACTCGTTATCACATGACGGAAGTATATCTGGAATATCGGCGGCAAAAAATCGTTGTGCGAAGGAATTGACTGTGATTTAAGAGGTGGCTCACGTAGGGTTTTGAGATTCTGCCTTCAATTGATATTGGATGACATCATTCTTATCTTGTTATCGAACTGTGAAATTTGAGAGAATTACCGCACAGGAATGTGGCATGTTTCAATTATTTTGCTCGGGACAGTGATTGGCACAGGTTCCGTTCCATGAAATACACAATTCAATGGACAATGTCAATATAGAAACAGGAGCATCTTTAGAATAGTGACCAAGGACATACTTAATATGAGAATAGATCACATTCTGAAACGTTAAACATTTTACACTTCAGTCAGGGTTTCCATATACCAGACAGAACCGAATGGAATGATGATGAACTCAGCAGGAGTATACTCCAAACATCTTGAGACTCGCCTCAGCTACTCATTGGGCAAAATACTCTTCCAAAATGTAGAAGCCCTTTCCCATAACAAGATTTTTTACTGATTTCATAAATTGTTCAAGTTCAGTAATTGATGCAATATGTTTTAGTAGATGATTATATATTCGTCTGCTTCTATAGATTTGAGACTGCCTGGTCAAAGATGATATGGGCAGTGGAAGAGCAAGTTTTTTGTCGCTGCGCGTATGCCTTTCTGAATGGTTTACAAACTTTTCCTTATGTTTGTGAAGTAAACAGACAGTCTCTAAAATGAATAGTTCAAAAATTGTTAATATTTTGTTTCTGCAGAAAATTGGCTTACAGGAGTCACGCATCTTCAATTTGAATATTATTCTCAAAGCTCTTTTCTGGATAACGAATATACTTTGCATCAAGGTCTGGCTGTCTGAGCCCCAGAAAGGAATTCCATACCGGAGATTTATGGCAAAGCAACCAGAAGACAATTTCTTTTTCAATGCAGTAATGTGCATATCAAATTTTGAATTACTGTAAATGAATATACCAAGGAATTTAGTTACAGGCTTACTTTCAATCATGCATTCACCTAGTATTACGTCTTGTTCTATATCCCACTTGAATGTTATCAGATTTGTTTTAGAAACATTTAGCGATAACATATTCGATTCACACCATTTTTCATTTTTTTCTAAATCAGAGTGGAAAGACCGAGTCAAAGTATCAGGATCTTTATTACGCCAAAATACAGTGGTGTCATCCGCAAACAAGGTAAATGCTCCAGATATATCAAGTTTTGCCAAATTGTTTATATATAGCAAGAATAAAATTGGGCCTAGGACTGACCCCTGAGGAACTCCGCGTACAATTTCTCTACTATCAGAAGTGTTGTTGCTCAATGTTATTTTTTGACTTCTACCAGTAAGATAAGATCTGAACCATTCTAAGACTGTTCCCCGCAATACATAATGGTTTATCAGCAGGATTTCATATTCCACGCAGTCAAACGCCTTAGAAAGGTCCAGAAATACTGCCGCAGCAACTTCCTCATCATTTAGGGTTGTGTAGACGTTTTCAAGAAAATGAAAGATGGCGTCAATAGTATTTTTTTGTGTAGGAAACCAAACTGTACGGGAGCTAAAATTTTATGTTTGTCCAAGAAACCCACTATCCTACGTTGCATTGATTGAGTCGCATTTGCGGTATGGTATTCCTTTCTGGGGCTTCTGCAGCCAACAACTGTTCAATTCCGTTTTTGTAATGCAGAAAAGAGCAATAAGCTATTTGTGCGGAGCAAAAAACAGCGATCACTGCAAACCTTTATTTCAGCTCCACAAAATATTAACCTTGTGCAGCATCTTCATACTCGAATCTGTATGTTTGATGAAAAAGAAACATCAAAATATCACAAGTCTTAGAACATACGAGACACGGCAAAACAACAATATACCTCTGCCGATTCCAAAATATTCTTTAACAAAAAATTCATTGATGTTTGAAAGTAAAAAAATGTTTAATCATTTGCTAATTAATTTGAAGCAATTATCTGACTTATCTAAATTCCGGAAGGTAATTAAAGATATATTGAGTACGAAAGCATACTATTACCTAGAAGAATATTACAGTGACAAATGGTGATATATATATATATATATATCATAACCATTCAGGAAGTTTTATTATTTTAATGTGTTTGTATTGTGATTTTATAAATTCTTTTATATTTTATATTTATATTCATATGTAGGATAATTATTATAGTATTTTACTACTACTTACTTATCAGGTAACTCATTATTTGTGATAGTATAATCTAACGCTTTGTCAATAAGTAATTTTTCTTAGACAATAAAGCATATTTTTGATTGATTGATTTTGATTTGACTAGTATTTCAATGATTTTTGATAACGTTGATAAAATTGAAATCGGTCTGAAATTGCTGGGTTCATCAATGGCACCTCCTTTGTAAAGCGGTATCACTTTTGCGGATTTTACGATTGTCGCCGTATACTTTTTAATGATTACAACGACGTTTTCCGTTTCTTAACCCACCTGCTCGAGTCCTCCGAGACGACCGAATCCTTCGTGGATTCCGACACCGACACGACGCTGTCGTTCGTCTCGTCGTTGTGGTCGACGGACGGCGGACTGTCATCGGGGAAGGAGGCGGCAGTGTCCTCCTCCTCCTCCAGGCCGGCCTTGCCGTTGACGGGGACGCCTTGGTTGCTCTCGTCGGAGGCGGCGGGGTCGAGCGAGTCGCCGTTCCGGTGGACGGCGGCCGGAGGCGGCAGGGCGTTGCCGTTCTCGAGGGGGGAACCGGCGAAGATACCTAGAGAAAAAGGGGATGTTCGTCTTAGAAAAACTGATGATATTGTCACAATTAAGTAATTATTCTAAAATTATAATCGAAATCATTAATTCAATATTTTCATAATTTCCATCGCACCGAAAGTTTATAAACATTTGGAACACGTTTTGGCATTGACTCATCAACAACCTAAACGACTGAGTAACCAGCAACGTACCGAGGATTACCTAAACAATAACAGTACTTGAGATTTCAGATAAATATACATTTGTGGATATTCCAGAGGGCAGTTGATGATCGGTAATTGAATAGTTGCTGTTGGTGCCGTTGGTGGTGCAAACTGTCGATTTGTACAGTTCACACGTCTGGAAACATAAGGCTGGGACATAGAAAAATTGAAATTGCAGCTCATGTCCATTTGGTAACTTTCTGATGCAAAAAAACATAAAGAAACTAAAACAGTAAACAGCATAATTTGTATCACCTCTGTGATAGTTGGGTAACTTTTGTGGAGATATCCAAATCTTGAGCACGATGTGCAGGTCATGTTATAAAATCAGAGGTAATATTCATCAGAGTGATCGATTTACATATGCTACTGTATCTTCGCCTATCTATTTGTTCCGCATCTTCCATTACGTCATTCAACATCAACTGTATAAGTTCCCCTTCCATTATGTTTTGATCATAATTACTATTTATTCAGATGGTATAAAACTCAAAAAAGATTCATTAGAGTCCAAAATGGTTCTCCAATATGAATAAACGGTAAAACTGCATTTAGCATGCGATGGGTTTTTTTTCGAAAATTTTTTTTGGTACTTACGTATTTTTGTCTGAAAAACACGAATTTGATAATGAAAATGTGAACAAACCATTATTTATCAAGATATTTCAATATAAAGTTACAAATTCCACCTTCTTTTCCGCCTGTCTTCTGGATTGAATTTAAAACAATTTACCCTTCTTTTTTCATCATTGGACAATTTATATATATCACAATGTAAGACACATTTTTTCCTATTATTGAGTCAACTAGAAATATGATTTTCTTGTGATTTATCCACATTTATTGAAAAGAAGGAAGAATATCATTTGAAATAAAGGCGTGTGTAATGTCATTCCAAAGCAATCTATTGACATTTGACAATTGACATCTCGTATTTGGATTGCCTATGGATAAAATGGCCGTCATCTGGTATGCTTGCTCACTAAATAGGAAAAACTCACCATGAAAATCATATTTCCTGTTGAATTTTCTGTATAAAAATGTGTTATTGAAGTACATCATGAGTATATAAAGTGTCCAATGACAAAATAAGAAGAGCAAGTACCTGTAAATGCATCCAACGCAAGGGAAAAAAGGAGTCGAAATTTCGAACTTCTTTTTGAAATATCTCTATAAATAGTGATTTGTTCACATTTTCATTATCAAATTCGTGTTTTTCAGACAAAAATACGTAAGTACCAAACAAAATTTTCGAAAAAAAACCAATCGCATGCTAAATGCAGTTTTACCGAATAAACAATAAAAATATTCAATGACACACACCACAAGTCAACAAAACGAACGAAAACATAAAAACGAGTGAAATAAGCGCTCATTTTGAAAACGAACACGCCTCAAATTTCACTGGTCAAGACTCAAGAATACCAAAACGTACGAAACTCTCGAAGTGCGCATACGCATCAAAAGTTCACTTGTCGAGAATACGTCCCCTGGTTCTATCACATAGGAAAAGACTCACTAGAGAGCAGGTCCGGCTTGTGCTCCATCACCACGTAGTGCGTCCACAGCGTCAGCTCGACCTTGTGCGGCGACCACACGACCGCGTCCGGCCGCTCGCCCGCCGCCGCGCTCTCCCCGTTCAATCTGTCTGCGGCGGCGCTGATGTGCCCCGCGAACTTGAGGTACTCCTTGGCCGTGTAGTCGATGCCCTCGATGTCGGGGATGGCCATGAGGCACTCGTCGGCCATGAAGGGGGCCGTCTCGGGGCTGGCGGCCGCCAGGAGGGCTGCGAAATAAGGGCGGGGGTTGATGTTACACAGAATATCTACTGAGCCAGAAACTGAGTTCAACTAGAATACTACAGACTAAGGGCCGGTTGTATAAAGAAAAATTAATCATACAATCAACTGATGCCACAATAACTTTGATGTTATGTTGAATGTCTTTTGCGTTTCTGTAATACCTATAATAGTCATCAACAAGAACTTAGGACGTTTTTTTCAGATTCTGCAAAAATTCTGCGAAATATTCTAAATAATTTGGCGGAACTTTCACGAGTCATTAGCTGGTTGTCAATTTAATCAGTGGCCGAGCACTGATTAAGTTGATGCCATGAATAAGTCGATTTGATGTGACATCTAATGTTGATTGGCCTTTGTGCAACCGATTTTTTAGTTAAATAGTCATCACCATAAGTTAATTAGATGATTAATTCACCATGCCATCAAGTACATGATGGGCCTTTTATGCAACCGAATTCGATTTATAACGTCGCATCAAATATTTGAAGTGACATCAAATAATTAATGAGCTTTTATGCAACTGGCCCTTAAAGAAATAAAGTGTTAATATTTAACACTTTTCAAAGCTACCTGAAGTTTATACAGGTCCCTCTGAATAGTGTTGAATTTCTACCAGTGTTAACCAATGGAAGTCAGTAACACTTTCAGAGTGAAGTCTAACACTAGTAGAGTAAATATTTAGTGTACAATAACACATTCTAGAGTTACTATAAGTATTGTAATTTCTTTTTCAAAATAAATAATACTTTATTGAATCATAATTTTTTATTCAATTAATTGTCCATACATAAAGATATAGTATTGAAATTTGGCGTTCATTACTCATTATTGAATTGAATTGATGGTCTGCATTGAGCATATACGGATCCATTCACGTAGGATCACATTCTCATGAGTAGGTATCCTGATCTCCCAGAACATGTTCTATCACTTCAATGTCTTGGGCCAACAAGAAGGGTGGACAAGTCTGTCGGTTTCGTATAAACCTCAATAATGAGCTGATTTTACTGCAAATAAAAATACACTCTGGTAATCTAATGAATTGATTATGAAACTTGATTATACCTTTTTGTAGACAATCAGTGAATCCTCTCAACTTCCAGCATTATCCAGTTTTAGAGGTTGATATTGAGAGCTATACAGTATGATGCAAATGTATGGAATAAATTCATTATTTCAGAAATGGGCGACATTTGAAAAAATTCCAAAAACACGTGAGTTTTAATTTCTGAAGCCTCATCTCATGATATTCATATGAGAGATGTTACGTCACCGGTGTTGGAGTAAAGACGTAATGGACGATTTTTTCAAATACAAATAGGGGTCATGTGACACCTTGATTGAAAGGTCTACCGATCGTCTATTCAACAGTCAAAATGTTGCATAAGAAGATTGAAATTATAATGGATTATCATGTGATTAATTGAATCTTGCAGAGGTCTGTTACTGAGAATTGAACATCGAAGGGTCGTCTAGTTAAAAAAATAAGTCGAAAAAAAAGTTCTAAACTCTAGTTTTTGGTTTTTTTTTTTCGAAAGTCGTCTTGTTTTGAAATGAATTTATTCCATACATTTGCATCATACTGTATATATGAACTATCTTCAATATTGCTTGTACAGGAGTCATACTCTGTACTAATCACAGTTATTATCCTCAATGTCATCAATGTGCAGAAATAAAATCGTTATTCCTATAATGAAGCAGTTTTGCCCTAGGAGTGAATATTTAGTAGTATATCAGGGAACAATGGAAATTTCCATTTTATTGTAGATTCTAATTTTACTACTTGATTCCTGTATCAAAAACGAGAATGTAGTATGTTAATTCCACTTTGTTACATTATACTTAATACTAATTTTTTGGTTAACGTAGTAAAATAAATTTCAATGAACCCTTAGGCAATAATGACACCTGCAGTGAATGCACTATGAATCAAACCCGAGACCAAACCACGTGACTACGAAACGAACGATCGTGAGTGCGCATGCGCAAATCAACACTAATTCAACACTACTAGTTTTGATCAACACTGGCTAATACTAGCGTGTTGACAAAGTGTAATATGGCACACTATGATTCCTGACGCAGATCATGCTAGGCAACATTAGATATTCGAGGGTTGAATCACAGTGTAGAATCACTTTAAATTTCAACTCTGAAAAATCAACACCTGTTACTACTCATTTAACACGGATGAATTTTATACTGTGTAGTGGGGCTGCTCACAGGGCATTGTAGGCTCTACAAACAGATGAGTAGGATAGGTCTGGCTAAAGAACTGCTGTGCAGTGTCTGTCAGGAAGAGGAGGAAACAGCAGTACGCATACTTTGCAACTGTGGGGACTTGTCTAGACTAAGGTTCCTTACTCTGGTACAGCAAAAACCGAGAGCCTAAAGAAGGCGGGGCTAGTCAAAGAACTCTGAACGATTTTGAGGGCAGACACAATAGATCTGAAAAGGTCGCGGTGTGGAGGCCGTTAGCCCGAAGGCCCCATTCTAATCCAATCTTTGAAGTTTTGATGTCTTTGTATATTGAGAGTACGGACACCCGACAAGCAATGACAGGAAGACGATAACAAATAGATGAACAAAGCGGGAACTGACAGTACACGAACGTACATGACATCTGTGAGAGTACTAGCTGTAGTTAGGGGGGCGAGACTACTGGTACTTATTTCGGATATCTCGGGCGCCAGATTTTTGATAAAGGTGATTGACTTCACCTGCTCCTGCAAACTGGGTTTATTAGGAGGCCTGGGTAACAAACAGTGAAGAAAGGCGCAGGAGGTGTCTACAGTAATCCAGGACCGTTTATAAGCGGACCTGGACACAGGAGGCCAAGAGAATGTAGGTTTTATTTAAAAACCCTGGGTTTAGCCTCGAATACTGGTTGCAATAAATTCTATCCGAAAAACCCTGGTTATGTGAAGTTAATTGCTATCATTCAACTGAGAACATACCTCTAGGCCCAAAGGTCACAAACATTATTTATTTATTTTTTTGTTTACATACATTCATTCATTCATTTATTTATTTATTTATTTATTTATTTATTTATTTATTTATTTATTTATTTATTTATTTATTTATTTATTTATTTATTTATTTATTTACTTATTTCAGTTATTGCATTACATTCTCTTCTTCATTGATACATTTCATACAAATAATATATAAAGTATAATTAATTTTCTAGTAGGAATGACATGAATGATCAGACAGTAATTCCTGGTATAAGATCATTCATGAAGTATTATCGACTGTTGCATAATTGAAATTACAAATAGTGAACAAAACTTACATATCATTAAGATACAGTCATATTATAGTGAACAAGAAGGGGGAAAATAAAAACAGTAAAAAAAACAAAGAAAAAAGGAAATTCATAGTCTTTCAGCTTTGATCATTCCTTTGCATATAAATATATTTCTTAGTTGAAGTTTACTTTTTTTCCCAAGTACGAGGGGTGTGTAATGAGTTTTTGAGCAACATTCATTATTAGACTGGTTTTGATAATTATTTAAGTATCTGAGACTGATTCTAGTATAATTTTACTTGTTTGAAAACCTGAGAGCTGAGTAATTCATTAATTACTGACTTACAAAACTTTTTTCTGATAGTAAACTCCGATAAACATCATTACCCCTAAAGACCTCAATATTTTTCAACTCTTTGCTTATGATGTGAAATTTAGATAAATTACTCATCTGTTGAAATGATTATGTTTACCTCATCATAACTTTTTATTATTGAATATTTTACAGTTAAATTAATTCAGTAGCATAAGCAGGGGCCATGACAAGGTTGCAGTTCAACCAATCAGAAACCAGGATTTAGCTGTCCAAATAAGAGAGTTATGAAAATTATTCATAATACTCTGTGAAGTAGGACTAAACAAACTTATTATGTCCCATTGCTGTTATGATATTGTCATAATTGATCCAAAGAACAATTTCCGGAATTTTCTCAGTAATTGTGAATGTTGATTTTGCGAAAAAAAATAAAAAATACGTATATACAGGGTGAGTCAATAGTGTGTTCTTCGATATTGGCCAAACCGTCAGAAATATAAAAAAAATTCAAATACAAGAGTTATAGGGTTTCATGAGAACTGTCACCTGAAATTATTTCCATATCTATAGGGTGTTCGAGTTCCAAGATATCGGCTGATGATGTTTTTTTAATGGGACACCTAGTATGTTATTGATTTTTAGGTTTTCCCTGAAGAGCTGATTTCATTAATGCTTCACACTTGGGATCTAGCGAGAATGATTACAGAGATATAGAGTGTTAAAAATCGAGATTTTTCAACTCAAGGATTTTTTTGTGTCGATACTATTCATTATTGGTCAAAACGCCTTACATGTCCATGTCTTTTGATTTACTATCTAATGACATTTGATAATTAGAACAATACAGGGATATCAGAATTCTGAATCTTCCCAAGGAAATCCCGTACTTCCCAAAGAATTCCCAGACTTCTTGAAGAATTCCCAGACTCCCCAAATAACTTCCGGGCCTCGCAAAGAATATCAGGACCTCGATCAGGACTTCCCGAGCAATTCCCGTCTAGGGTACACTGGACTTCCCACGTGATTTACTACCCCTTGCTTTAGGCACACAAAATATATTTTAAAAGTGCAGTTTTTTGCAGTTGTAGGAAAATTGAAATTTCCAAAACTTCACAGTGAGATAAAAGCTCAATATCGGAAACTTCCGAATTTTCGGTCCGGATTCTCACTCACCCGAGGCCATGGTCGTGCCGACGACAAAATGGAAACGGTATTGAAGTTTGATGCAAACAGCCCTTCTGCCCTAAATTAGTTTCAGGAATTCATTCTGAGTATTGAAAAGGATCGAACGGAACAAATAAATATCAAAAACTTGAGAAGAGTAAAGGTCATAATGTTGATATTGTCTCTAATTTAAGGACAATCTCGGTCTTTTGAACTTTGATTGATCACCTGGGTCATAATCAACTGCATTTCGAAGGAGCTGATTCTCATGTACCTCAGCTTTTTCGAAAGTCTTGAGGTTTCGTTCTCTAATGACGGACACGATTGAAGGGACTTTCAGATCCCTGGTGATCTGCTTATTCCAAACATACCAAGGAGATCCTGTCACCATTCTCGCGATTTTGTTTTGTAATGTTTGTAATCTGGTGATATGAGATTCAGCTGTGTGGCCCCAGACTACCGAGGCATACAGTAAAATTGGCCTGATAGCCATGATGTAATTATTTAATTTTTGTCTCAAACCCAATTTACTTCGTTTGTTTAGAACTGGATACAGGGCTCCAATGGCTCGTTCAGCTTTTGAAACTTGCTGTTCAATGTGCTGGGCCCAGGTGAGCTTTTTGTCAATGCACACACCCAAGTATTTAACTTGTGAAGACCACTCTAACTCATGACCATCCAGGACTATTCTGGTTCTGGGAGGCCTCCGCTCCCTTCCGAGTGAGACCAATTGTGTTTTTGAAGGATACAATTTGATCTTCCATCTTAGGAAGTACTCCTGAAGAGAATTCAGCGATTAATGTCTCTCAGACCGACGTCACCACTCATGTTTCGTAAAACAACGTCACCACTGGAGGGTTAAAAATTGCAGTTTTTTTGACAATTGTAGCAAAAATTGAGATTTCCAAAACTTCACCATGAGATAAAATCTCAATATCGGAAACTTCCGTATTTTCGCGAAGGTCCGGATTGCCACTCACCCGAGGCCATGGTCGTGCCGACACCCTTCAAATTTGACAGCGCCTGCATGGCCTGCTCGAGGTTGGGCAGCTTGCGGAACGCCTTCTTGGTCTCGGCCATGACGGCGCGCGGCGTGTTCACCTTCACCAGGTAGGAGAGCTGCGGGAAGAACTTGCCCCTGGTCTGCTTCCATTTCATGCACTGTACCAGCTCCTCGTGAACCAGGTGGGCGTCCTTGCCGCGTGACTTGATCTTCTTCGGCAGCTCATTCTGGAACCTGAGGGACGAACAGAAATTAGTCCGATCATTAGTGACTAGTGATGGGCGGTGGGTATTTGCCCATTAGCTGGGTATTCATAAATTGGGCATTTATCCGGGTATTTACCCTGATGATAAATACCCACCCAAAAGTGGATATTTATGAAAAACGATTTGATATTGTCGACTTCACAAAACCGCCGTAAAACGTAGTAAAATGTTTGACATCACATCAGATAATAGAAAAAGGAGCAGATGAAGAAACAATAATAGTAGATTGTTTTATTAGGATCAAAAGTGACACTTTGTTTGACAAGCGAATTTTGCATTTGCGAGGCGGAGCGTTTAGCGAAGCCGAGCGAAAGCAAAATTTGCGAGTCGAACAAAGTCACTTTTGATCCGAATGAAACATGATATTTTTTCTGCAACCGAAACAATTAACTCAAATAAATATGTGAAGTAACCACCAATGCCGTGCCATGTGTATACAATGCAACAAATATTGACAAATAATCCGTGTGGTGAAAATATTCTACCTGCATTGACAGCAGGTTTATTCAATTTTCAAGGATGTTCGAATTGTAGTTTCAATATAAATACATCCACAGAGTGACATATTTGTGTATGGACCAGGTGCTCTAATGGCAAATACCGCGCCAGTGCCAGATAGGAACAAGACGTGGAAAATGTTAGGTTATTAGTGAGCATATCAACAATAATAATAGCGATTATTTATTCCTCTCTATACTACACTGTGTTTGACTTGATAATCAAATGAAGGTAAACAGTATCGTTGTTTGAGACAAAAAAACTATTGCTTGTCGTCATTATTCAAAAACAAGTTATCCATCCCGAGAATAACGAATTAAATACAGATCAAGCAAGTGATTGAATCTTGAAGGCTTCTCTGATCAAAACAAAAATACTCAACTGAGATGTTTATAATTCCAATGCTGGCAATACTTAACTATAATAAGGTGTAATAATATCTCCAGCATCGGCATGAAATGCCAAATATGCCGAAATCGGAAATAAATCAGGTATGCGTCTCAACCCAAATAACCAACCATAACAATGTCGTTCATTCTTGATGACGTCCAGTACATCCTTTTTAGTTCGTAGGAGCTAAATATGTTGCCTAGCAACATACCTACTTTTGTGTCAGTAATAGAAACTTCAATTTAAGAGCTAATTTTGGTATCAAAATGGACGACTTTTGTGTCGGTTGCAGAAAATATATTTTTATTTTCACAGTTTCACTCCTGTACTTTGCCAAAAATCTGAATAAAATGATAAAAAAGAAAAATCCAACTTGGTCTTGATTTACTACAATAGAAAGAAAAGGTGTTAAATGTAAGTACTGTAAAACAGAATTCAAACACCCTAATGTCAAGAAATTCCAAAAACATGTACAAAAAAGTTTCATTTTGCTTTATAAGTGGGTAGTTTTTTAAAATATAGATTTTGTTGTTTATTGTAGTATTTTTGTCCAGGGTTTCATTTCTGTAGTACCAGATTACCGGATACCAGATCCCAGACCACTGGTTGCTTTTGATTTGTTCATGGAGAGTTGCTCAATCTTAACATTTTTCTTGTCAGAGTTTTTAATTGTCTAGGAGATTGTCAATTTTAAAAAAAACCTGTTTTAAGGCATCAAACTCGCAAAAATACTGTAATAAAGAGCAATTTTCCATGTTTTCTGTTGAAAAGTTCATAAATCAAAATATCCTTATAAATACTCAGCTCCTGGCTCGGCTCCTGGGTATTTACCTGGGTAAATACCGTGGATTTTTACCCTTAATCACTATTAGTGTCATACAATTTCAGTATAGGGTTGGAATGAGTCATGACTTTTATAAAAAAGTCCGACTTTTTGAATTAATTCGGATTCATTTTGAATTAATTCACTTGATGCTGGGTTCATAGATTCAACTAAACTAAGAAATAAACTAACAACTATGAACTCAAGAAGTTGAATAAAAAGAAAACCTATGAGGGTTTATACATTTACACCTGTCATTTAAATTAAAAATTAAGAATTACAAAGGCCAACTTTCAACTTAACTAACCAAGAATTAGGAAATTCTGGAGACAGAACATAAAAATTGGATTTGTTATTTATTGTTCAAGTGGAGTTTGGTGATATTCAATTGTAATAGTTTTTTATGGATTCATGAATTGTGGTGACAGAAATCACTTTTTAACATCATTTTGATCTTCAATCAGAAGACATTTCACATTTAATTCTTAATTAATATCAGATCTGTATAAACACCTTCAAAGGAGTTTTGATTGCGAAGTCACACCCATTGAGCATATTGTTCTAAATTGTATTGGAAACTTCGAACGCAAATATCTCAATTTCCTATGCGAGATTCGCAGGAATGGCACTCGAATCTAGTATCAATACAGTGCAGACTCGATAATCCGAACGTTCAATAATCCGAATTCTTCAGTAGTCCGAACAAGCATTTTTAATACATTGAGTACTCTATAATCCGAATTTCATAGTACTCGATAATCCGAACCTGCACCTTTAGGCCTATATATTTCCTATAGAAATTGTGAGTGAAATGTTCAGGGATTCCCCTAATTGTTCTTTTGTTAGTATCTGGGATTCACATTACGCAAGGAAGAAGATATTCTTGTACTTCAAAGATTAAAAGAAATGGCCTTTATAAATAATCAAAGATGTGCTAAGCAAACAAAAATTACAAATTACTTTAGAAACTAGTATTATATTCTTACTTTTATGCATATTTTAGTGTTACTTTTTCGTATTCATGTTTTTTTTTTGCATTTCGTAATGAAAAATTAAAAAAAAAAACTGCTTCGGTAATCCGAATTTTTTGGTAATCCGAATCGCCTTGGTTTTTATTAGTTCGGATTATCGAGTCTGCACTGTAACGACTTGTCATATGCTGTCATGGTCATGTCTACTAGATTTTAATTATGATTGACAAAAGTGCTTTCAAAGTGATAATAGGAATATGTTTATATTTCAGTTTCACAAAACCATATTGATTGAAATATATTACTAGTGGTGAAAAACGATTTTTCATGGGAATATTAATACTCTGTATCTCGTTATTCGAACTTTATTTCCTGAAATATCACTAGCAATCACCCACTTAAGTTTGTCGCACTTATTATGTGTACTAAGCACAAAATCAGGTGATTTGCCTCGAAATGTTACTGTGTTTAATAATTTCACCATTGTGTAACACTAAAGAAGAAATTTAATCGATAGTCAGTGACATCTAATTTAAAAAAATGTTTGGAGAAAAGGAATATACATTGAGCAAGATACAAAAACAAATCAAAGGACAAGAATGTTGTATTTTCAGTAGGTATGTTTTATTTGGATAGGTAGTTGACAACAACCGCAAAAAATACAGGGTGATATTTTTTCGTCAAAATGCAAACGACTTGCAAGCTAGGTAAGCCCTTGGAAATTCGGTATCATATCTATCTGTTCCAGTGAAAAAAACTCACTATTTTTAAAAAACCCAACACCCTGTATCTCGGAAATTAAGCATTTTGGGACATCATGTTCGTTTGAACATTATTTTCCATCTTTTGCTGATCTGTGAAACACCCTGTATACAGGGTGAGCAAGTTTCAATGGCTAATAATCCAAGAGTCGAAAAAACTCGATAAAATACCATTATTCCTATGAGGGGACTCTTCAATCTATGCTGATCTATGCTATGGTTATCGAGATATAGGGCGTTGAGATTTGAATTTAATTTACCAAAAATTTTTAATAATTTAATATTGAGATTTTGTAGATATAAAAGGTGATATGTATGTATCAAACATTTAGATCGACATACAGGGTGGTACATATTTTGAGTACTGTCTATGACGAAATCGATAGAACTTTTTCAGTACGCCACTGAACAGATTTCAGGATTGGTAGGATTACAACATTTTGATTCGAATCATTATTGAAATCGCGATTCAAATCAAATGATTTTTTCAACATGATATTACTTCTGATAATTTTCAATGTTTGGCAGTGGCAGTATCTTCTCGGATTTAATAATACAGGGTGTTGATTTACATGTGGAATGATTTTCCAAATACTCAATTCAATACAAAAAACAGGACTCTTCTGTATCGCGAATGAATGATTTTGATGCACAGGGTGTCTCCTTATATTTTGACCCCTAGCTATACAGCTTCAACTATACTAGGTGGAAAAACAACTTCAAATACGAAAGTTGCATCTGTATTACCTATGCGTCGACACGTTTTTCGCTAACTATGTTAGCATCTTTAGGAGAAGGTTAAAACTCACAAGTGTCGAAGCATTAAAAAAAATCGGTTTGGTTAGTATGGTTAAACCGAGGGTGAAGCTGTGTAGTGGATTATCTTAACATTCTTAACACAGGTTCCTATCTAAAATATTCTCCTTGTGAAAACACGAACGATCATAATATACGAATTGCAAAATTTAAAAACAGTCAACATTTTTTTTATGAAACCCTGTATATTTTCAACTCTAGTGAAAGATCTTCTGTTCACAATAAATATAAAAAATATAGTTTCCTAATAGTCCCTTGAGCCGTTTTCGACTAAACTCTTGCTGCACTACTGAACTTTTTGCAATATTTTCATACTCTTATAATTCATCCTTTACGGAATACCCATTCTGATAAGAGAAACCCGGAGAAAACGATAGAGATGTCAGGAATTGCCTGTTTTGTGTCGATGGCATTCCGTTGTGTCCACGGCCATCAAATGTTATTGGTAATGTTGATACAATATTGTAAAATCAAGTTAAAAACGGCTCAAGGGAACATCATCAAACTACATATTTTAGTGAACCGAAGAAAAACATATTTCACTAGATCTGAACATATACATGGTGTTTCATTAAAAAAAAAAACGTTTGAGGAGTGCCAGAAGATAGTACAGATAAAGCCCGAGTAAAACCCTACAACTTTCATATTTGAAATGTTTTCCACCTCGTATAGTCGAAGCTGTAGGTAGTGGTAACAGTTTTATCTATGG